GGCCTCACACTTCTCCGTTATATTCACCACCTGGTAGTGAGTGTCTCAATTAGTATTCCATATCAACCACTTTACTAATGGGACAACCACATAAAAGGCTTGAGTGCTTGCAATGATCAAGGAGTCATTGTTTTGTAAGAGAAGAACTGTACAATAATATTTAGGCCTACCTGTTTGGTTGTATAATGGATTTGAATTCAGTGGTTTGGTTAGTAGCTTGATTATTGTATGTTATCATAGTTATGTGTGCTAATTAGGGCTATTTTTGGTATCGATTGTAACCTTGTAGCTCCGCCTTCCTACGATGCCTGGTATATATGGGGAACCATTCATAATGATGTACTTATTTAAAGTATTATATGTATTTTCTTTAAATCTCTTATGCAAGTTATATTGACCTACACCACCACACATTTAGTGACTTTAAAATTCAGAAAATTCAGAAAATCTTTAACCCTTTAAAACTGGCTCTTGTTATTTTAATGACTAACAATTCAACAATAGATCAGAACATTGCTATAAATAAGTTGCATGATGATAATGTTGTTTACCTAACAATGCTTTAACCTAAAACCGTTCTCACATTTAGTCATCAGTGATCCTTTAAATCTCGTTCTAAAACAGTTCAAACGTATGTCAACAATGATTCTAAAGGATCCTCGGCCCAACAGCTGGTCTGTAATGCTTTTATTGACCTAGGAGCTCTGCCATAAGTGTCGGAACACAACAATTGACATACCAATGCTGTGTATACCGGGAAGGCATCAGAAGAAGGCTGCCAGGCAGTTTTGGCACCTTTCCCAAGGCGACCGCTCATGGTTTACCTTTGTGTTAATAATAATGAACATAACGGCGCCTGTAAACCTGAAAATAACTAACCTGTAAACAACTTTTACTGTTGCATTTGTTATTTAGTGGGGATTTTTTTAACCATTCCGGCTTAATTTTTTTATAATTTTATGATTACTTTTGAAAATACAGTGTGGTAGAAAAGTCCCGGAACGGTTAAATATTTTAAAAATAATGCAGATAGAGCTAAAATACTTGTTACAAAGTTACAGGGCATAAAAACTCTATTTTAACACATATTCAGTGATCCAATAACTCTTCAACGGCCCACAAGGAGTCAGAAGAAAATCTTAAATGGAAGCTTAGGTCAATATGCACATCAAATTAAAGGTCTTTTTTAGTAGAATACAATGCCGCAAACCGCACTTCAAAAGGTTGATCCTGCGCAAAATGGCAGTTGTTCAAAGATTCATTTAATTTACATTGCTATTATACGCTTTCTCCTCAGGGAAACACCGGAAGAAAATGTATGTAGATGTGGAAATGTATGTATGTATGTGTATGTATGTATGTATGTATGTATGTATGTATGTATGTATGTATGTGTATGTGATGTAGGAATCGGAAGAAAATTGTTAACGTAAGAATAGGTCGATATGCACATCAAATTAAAGGTCTTCACTTTTAGATTACGATGCCGTAAATTCAAGCTCAAAAGAATGCCTGAGTAAAAAATGGCAGTCGTTCAAAGATTCATAATGGCGGATTCAAGAAATCTTTGAACATCTGCCATTTTGCGCAGGATCAACCTTTTTGAAGTGCGGTTTGCGGCATTGTAATCTACTAAAAAAGACCTTTAATTTGATGTGCATATTGACCTATGCTTCTATTTAAGTAAGATTTTCTTCCGACTCCTTGTGGGCCGTCCCCCTGAAGAATTATTGGATCACTGAATATGTGTTAAAATAGAGTTTTATGCCCTGTTACTTTGTACCAAGTATTTTAGCTCTATCTGCATTATTTTTTAAAATATTTAACCGTTCCGGGACTTTTCTACCACGCTGTATAATGATTAGTATTGACTGAGAAAAACATGATGACTAATCACTTATTTGATAAGTGAAAAATGCAATATTGCTACTCTGACTAATTACAATACAATGTCATCATCATTATCATCTCCAAGATATTGTTTATCTGTTAAAATATTGGCTGACAACGAACTGAAATATTCACTACACAGGCGTATTTTTATAAGGAATCTGTTGGGAAATAAAATATATCACAAAGTGACTTTAAACCAAAATGATAATAAATAATAACAATGGTAGGCCTATGTTATTTTACTAGGACCTGACGTGTCTCTTTTCAACACGAGTTTAAGTTTAACAACTGATGCAAAGCCGTTTTATATGGATACTAAAGGATATTTAAGGATATATAAAGGATATTAAAGTCCTTTTTATCACTACTATTCATCAAAGCAAACTTACCACACAGACTGAAATTAAATCGACAAATAATATAAGTAGCTAAACTATTTAATTTTGTTTAGAATGAAATACAGCTTCACCAAGAAATACAATACCGGGTGCAGGGTGGATTTATATTATTGCAGCCCCAGGCAGAATAATTTTACTGTCCCTGTTATAAACCGTACTTCCTACCCTCTGAAAATGAACATTCCTTCCTGTACCGGATTTCTTAGGTGATATTACAAATATTTTAAACATTTATTAAGAAATAATAATTTGATAGTTTTGGTAAAACCGTGTTCAAACCCAGTAGTTTACATTAACGTTTAATGCATTTTCAGTTGTACCTTTTAGTTAGGTGTTAACTTTTGTTAAGGTTAAATAATGTTTACAGTTTCTTGACTTATAATAGAGTGTACGGTTTTTGATTATTTACAAGGATTTGTAAATTTAAATAGTGTGTATGTTAGTATGTTGACCTAACTAAAATAAAGTTAAGTGAGGTTTAGATTTGGAAAATTGACCAACATTCTTACAGATTTTCAGAAGTAACACTAATATGTTTTAAATCAGAGATTTTGAGCTTAGATTTGAACTCCCATTGACTTTGGATACTGAAAGTAGACTTCTCATCCTGTCCTACTGCAAAGTATTAAGCTTGTTTTGGGTTGCTTTCTATGCCTGCATATGATGACTGTGTTGATGTAGATTTAATGTTTTTCTTTTATTTAAGGGTAAATTTTACAATGTGTTTGACTCTTTGGTTATTAGATAAGCACGAACAAACAGATTATTTTACTCTAAACATTACAAGTAAAAAAATCTGTTTACATTTACTTAAAATCGATTTCCATGAACTTTAGACAATGTAAATTGTAAAATCACAACCGTAGAAAATAACTTCACATTTTTAAAATACCAAAGCATTTAATTACTAAATTTTTAATATTATTTGGTATCTAATCAAGCTATTTATGTTTGATCAAAATACCCGACTAAAAAGCTTTGCAAGGAAAAATGTATTTGAAACAATTTAAAAACTTAACTGAGTAAAATTGCTACTCAATAGATAACTGAAATACTGAATAGCTTGAGTTTTTCACCCACTCTGATGTCAACTTTGACATTGCCAAAACTGTCACCTTGGATTTACTTTATCTCAGTTCCTGGGTGCAACTTTTGACTTTAAACTTGTGGAAATTATATTTAGAGTGACAGCTGTCAGTAGAGACTATATTTGGCTCTGGGTCGCCATCACCTCTCAGGGCTTCTTCTCACGTGCCTTCAAGTACTCAGGTTTCCACTTTCCACAGCAATTTCCTTGTTTGTGGTCGATTAAAAGAAACTTGAGCTCAACCATTATATTTATTATTAATTGTCAATCACATTATATTAGGTTCCTTACTCGATCACTTTTGCAAGGAGTTGCTTTTTGTAGCAGTTTGCTCGTTTATTGGGTTTTTAACAAAAATATTTTCATAGATTCCTAATTTTTTTAATGAATGTAAATTAATATGTTAGTTTTATTAAACATTTGTACTGTTGAGACTTTTTATTCAAATTTAATGTTTCTTTTAGGTAAGCTAACAGCTCTCACGTATATAAGTAATCTTAAAGGATATTTAAGGCTACAGGACAACTTTCTCCATAAGTTAAATCTTTGACTATAAACCTTAAGAAGCTTTTTATTGTCAATTTTTTATTTTTTTATTTAGTCAATAGTTTAATGTACTTTGTAGCTTTAAAGCCAATTGATTATACTATTGTCAATAGACATTTTCATGTGACGTTCAAGAACAGAGCAAGTTGTTTTATTACCATTTGTAGTCCAGTCAAAAAAAGGTTTAATATCCAAAAAATTCCGAAAGTTTTGAAACTTTGCACACTTATTTCTAGGTACCTAGGGAAGATATTACTAAAAGTCCCCATAACAATGATTTGAGCTTTAGCGGCAATTAGCAAAACAGGGCACCTTTTTTGGTTAAGATCTTGAGAACCGTCGGTCAGAGATAAATGTGACTAATACCAAATGAAAGATCATTAAATTTTCAACAAAAATTATATTTAAACTTTTATTTTATTCCTAATAGCTACCCAGTTATAGGCGCTAAAATATGTTGTTTTTTTCCCCAAATGGCTAGGTGCCAACAAAGGTAAAAACAGGTATTTCGTTGCGTTGAGAAATAACGCCATATTTGAGTGCCCTATAACTCGTTAGCCATTAGGAATAAAATAACAGTGTATATATCATTTTTGTTGAAAATTTAATGATATTTTATTTAGTATTTTAAATATAGATATATTTAATTAGATGACTGTATCTATATTTATAATACTTTTAGCTATGACTGACGGTTTTTGATATTTCAGCCAAAAATCTAAAAAGGTGCCCTGTTTTCAATAATTGCCGCTAGAGCTCGCCTCGTATTTATGGGGACTTTCGGTATAATCTTCCCTGGGTACCTAGAAATATGTGTGCAAAGTTTCAATTTTTTGGGTCATTAATTTATATATTTTGACTGGACTATTGCTATAGTTTTGAGATTAGAGCCAAGCTTTAAGACTAATGCCCCCATTTTCATTGCTTCGCCATATTTTGTGACAATCTGATTCTGCTAATTGATCTAGCAATGCTATTGTAAATCTATAAGGCCTCTTACTACTTTAATTTTTCCTGTATTATGAGTTGCTATAATAGTTCTGTATTCTTATCCCAACGTTTCTGTATGTTTGCAGGACGTCCGTGCTGTTCGTCAGCATATCGTTTGTCGTTCTCATGTTGATCTCACTTGCTTGGCTCGTCTTCTACTACGTGCAGAGGTTTCGATACATCCATGCAAAAGATAGATTATCGGTAAGTCTATACAAATTGTTTGTTCATTTTTGTTAAAACTAACCTTTTCCCTACACACATATTCAGGCTTGAAGTTTCAGCTATCAGGGTCCTGAGTTTGGTGACGATTGAGAGTCTAATAAACCAGGTTACCTAAAAGCTTATAGGGTGTATTTAGAGAAATTTATTTAACAAACACGTTTGAGCCTTTTTTATGGGTTTCTATTGTGATGTTCAATTGAATATTTTGGCAGATTCCGCAGTGAATTTCGAGGAAACTTTTAGAATTTTTTGTACTGGTACTGAAATTTGAATATGTTAATTTATTTGTATTGCTATGTTTCTGTGGTACAATTATTTTTGATATGTAAACGACAAATTAAATTACAATCATATAGTATAATCAAATTTAAAAAGTATAAAATATTCAAAACTGTCCAGCTCTGATGTATGTTTGCTGGTATAAAATTTGTTTACAAGTTAAATAGTTATCAATAGATTTCTTAAATACTTAAAATATTAAAAATAACAACTAACTGTTATCTTTGAATGTTATACAAGAGTTGACTTTGGTACTTAAGTAGACATAACATCTATTTGTACTCACTGTAGTAAGTTGTTTACTTAAGTAGCCTGAAAGCACAAAAAATATGTCAAATAACACTTAATATACTTACTACACTTAATGTTTACTCATAAGATGGTAAATACATATAAAAGATGGTAAGTAGACACTCCAATCATCATCAGACCCAATAGGCGAATCTTGCCTATCACCATTGACTGGTTATATAGTCAATGCTATCACTTTCGCCTATTAGGTCTGATGATGATTGGAGTGTCCAATCGAAATCGATCACCACTTACCATCTTTTGTATGTATTTACCGTCTTGTGAGTAAACAGAGTATAAGTGGAAATAGCTATATTATTAAAAGTGTTATTTGACGTATTTTTTGTGTTTGTAGGTACATTTAATAACATGTATGATGCTAAACAAGAAGTTAGTTATTTACTTAAGTGGAACATAATATTTGAAAGACATTGAGCTTATCATACAGTACTATTATTTAAGTTTTATTTTTCATTCAGTTTTTTTACACTATGGTAATTGGAGTCATAAAAGATGCTACAGTTTACAATCAGATGAATTTTCAGTTCGGCATGATTAAACAGTTGGAGAATAACGAAGAATATTGTATTTTGCAGCGCATTCTGTCGGTAACTCAATTGGAAGGGTTCTCTTTCACTCTAAAACTGGCGACATTAAACATGAGAAAAGTGCCTGAGTCACAGAAGTGTATCTATAGTCAAAAGTAAACACTTATTAGCAAGTGCAGTTAAGCGAACTAACTCATTTTCCTAGCTTGTAATAATACACATAAATCACTCTGGTAATTACTACATTCTCAGGTTGGCGCTGGTCTATTTTCATACCCCACCTGCATAACCTCAAAATAAATCGTTTAGTACACACTAGTCATAGCCAGTACAGTAACGCACATTGAAAAACTGCTCTTTTTTAAATATGCAAGGAAAAAAAATGTTTTATCTGAGTTTTTTAAGCTTTGTGTTTTTATTTGGTTTTAGCAACTGCCTTGCAAACTTAAACACTAAGAGGTTCCACTGCAGTTTTTGTTATTAGTTTTGGGTTTCTTAACAAAAAATTCTGCAATTTTTTACTCAATTCCATTTCAGGGTCATCTTACCTCCAGTCCACAGGACTCCCCTGCTTCTAACTTCTCTATTATAGATTTTAGAGTCGTGAATGTAAGTTTACTGGAAGTAAGTCAATATACAAAACATTTTGGACACCCCTTTTTAATTTCCTATTTATCTTTTTTTAAGATTTAGTATCCAAATTATTTTTATTTTTAGTCAAAATTCAATATACTGAAAATTTTGCACCTCCCTGTTTTGATCCCTTTTTCACGTTTTGGAGATTTGATGTAAACAAGTATTTGTTTTTTAGTCCAATGTCAATGTACCATAGATTTTGGCCCACCCTGTTTTGTCCATATTTTGTACATAGTTAGGCCAAATTGGAGATTAATATTATTGAATCATTCGCACTACTACAAGTCAATTAACTACAAAATATTTTCCATTTCTTTTTACATTTATTTCCCTTTTCAATTTTGAGAGTTCTTCATCTTTAATTTTTTCTAAATATATATTCAAAAAAAATAATCAGTATATGTAAGCCTATTGTAGTAATAAATCACATCACCATATTTTAATTGTCTTTTCTTTTTCTAAAGACATCCATTCAACAAATAATTTGTATTACGTCAATACATACAAAAAAAAAAGATAGCACACTTTGTTTGATTTTTTAATTCCATAATAGTAGTTTTTGTTACTAGGAGCGAAAGTGGCTCTTTTTGGTACCTGCACGCAATCATGTTTTACAAGTGTGGTACAAGTGATGCGCGCAGCCGAGCTTGGAAATACGATTTACCAAAAAAGACACTTGCTCCATGTGATGAACAAACAACCTTTTCATCATACTGTGAAAATAACTTTCTAGTCGTAACATTGTAGAATTAGCAGTGTTTCCATAATGTAATTTTTTTCCAAATGAAAAACATAAAAAATTTGTAGGAAAAAATTACCATATGTTTTGATTGTTCCCGAAAACGATGGTTTTGTAGAAGATTTAGGGAACTAAAAACTGCTGTTTTCCGAACAGTATAATTAAATAGTATATTTCACTACTAGTCATGAAAATACCCCTAGTCCAGTAACTTAAGTTAAAAATCAAGGCCAACAAAGACATGAAAGATGTAAAGCTGATTTTTTGCATGGTGGTAGTGTATGATAGGAAGGGTGTTTTCTGAAAGTTCCCCGAATTTCCCCCCCTTGCTTCCCCTTAAAACCCCCCCTCCCCCAAAACACCAGGTTGAAAGTGTAGTGTTTTACTAAATCACCTATATATTTTGATGTAAACGAGCTATCAGCATAATTATTTTTTCTTTGAACTCCCCGTTAAATTTACTTTAATAAAATAACCTTACATGTAGCATTATCTCTATTGGGTGGGTTTATATCTGTAATATAACAAAAAATATTATTTTTTTATATAAAATTGTAGATTAGGTCAAACCCTGGTTTTTGCAGTAGGTCGTACGTCAATGTGTTTTTAACAAAACTTTTTACCTATTTTATGAGCTTTCCAAAAATGTATAACAATATATATTTTAATTTAAGTTGTTACCGAACTAAGCTATTTAAATCCATGCTTCACTTAGCACATCATTCCAAATTGTTCAATAAATATTACTAAATGATTACTTTTGATTTATTTATTGTTTACACACCCTGTGTGAATGTTTAACAAGCAAAATAAGAACACTGAATTACAAAATAGTAAGAAAATAAGTACTCACAAGGATTAAAAATTAAGTACTCGGTAGTTATAAGAAAAGGCAAATATATGCTCAACAGGTTTAATTAGCCTACAGTTAAAAAACACTTAAGTAAGGCATAAACAATACAGTACATATCAACTTTCTTTTCCCTCATCATCGTCAGTTCCTTCGTCAATGAAGGGTGGGAGTGAATTTATACAATCAATGCTTTATACAATCATTTATACAATCAATTTAGTTGTACAAAGTTAAAAGAAAAACAATTTAGTATTTTCTCACCACTTAAAATTTGTAGATCACTTAGCTTATTACCAATAACTTTTAAATGGAGGGAAAATCTACCAAAGTGGATGTGATATTCTGAAAGAGAATACAATTTACTACAAATAACTACCATGCATTTGTTGAACATTCTTAATAAAGGCAGGCAAAAGCTGGCTACAAATAGAAACTTGAAAACGGAAACTTGAAAAAAGAAACTTTCACCACAAATATTTGATAAAATCACACTTTCATAATTATTTGCAAATTTACATGAATTAGGCTTTCCAATGACCCATTAATTAACAAAATCGGTCTAGTAGAAGTCTAGATTTAGCTGTACAAAGTTTAACGAAAATATCCCTTACTCAGTATTTTATCATTACTATAAATTCAGAGGTTGCTTAGCCTTTTAGCAAATAACTTTTAAATGGTGAGGAAATCCACCAGAGTGGAAGGTGATATTCTGAAAGAGAATAAAATTTCCTACAAATTGGTACCATGCACTTTTTGGAAATACTCAAAATAAGTAGCCAAAAGTCGCACCCAAATAAAACGTGTGAAAAACACAGTTTTCAATGTATTTCTTATGGAAAACATTTTTTTCACCATAAATCATAACAAAAACAAACTTTCATAAGTATTTGCAAATTTACATGAATTAAGCTTTCCAACGACACAATAATTAATAAAATAGGTCCAGTAGAACTCTAGATTTAGTTGTACAAATATTTTTAAAACTGAATTATACAGGGTTAGTAAAAAGTGTGGAGACCCCCTGTTATTTTTTTAACGGCCCATACTAGAAAAACTAAACTGGGCACACCTTTATGGCATGTTATGAAGTACTTTTTGGGCATAACCACCACTTGGTGTACATCCCCAAAATGGGGGATTTTGGGGGAAACTCAAACAACCCTTTAAAAACAACATTTTAAATGCTAAGCCCCATTGAGTGGCCCCTCATTTTGAAGGTCCTGGTCAAAGAAAACTAACAACGCAAACTAGAGGTTTCTATCTCAATCCAGTAAAAAATGGAAGCTGATTGAAATCTTTAGAAATCAGAAATAACTTGCAATTTAATATTAAATTGGCTGCCATATTTTACTGTGTTAAGATAGAGACCTCTAGTTTGCTAGTTTTCTTTTATTATGATCTTCAAAATGAGGGGTCACTCGATGGGGCTTATCATTTAAAGTTTTTGAGTTTCCCCCAAAATCCCCCATTTTGGGTTTGGTAATCAAGTGGCTATTAGGCTTCAAAAGTACTTCATAACATGCCAAAAAGGTGTGTAGAGTTTAGTTTTCCTAGTGTGAGCCGTTACAAAATTTACAGGGGGTCTCCAGACTTGAAAAGCTACAAGTTAAATTTAACTTATGAGAATTTCAATTGGCTGCCATTTTTTACTGGATTGAGGTAGATACCTCTAATTTGCGTTGTTGGCTTTCTTTTACCAGGACCTTCAAAATGAGGGGTCACTCAATGGGGCTTAAAATTTGAAATTTTAGAGTTTCCACCAAAATCCCACATTTTGGGGATGATCACCAAGTGGCGGTTATTCCCAAAAAGTACTTCATAACATGCCACAAAGGTGTGCCGAGTTTAATTTTTTGTAGTATGGGCCGTTAAAAAAATTAACAGGGGGTCTCCACACTTTTTACTAACCCTATATATAGAATAGATATTTACTGGACAAGTTGGAATGGTGCGCTAAATGCGCTTTGTGGCTGTTTGAAGCGTGGATTTAAATGGCTTCATTCGGTAACAATTTAAATTAAAATATATATTGTTATACATTTTTGGAAAGCTCATCAAACAGGTAAAAAGTGTTGTTACATTGACGTACTACCTACTGCAAAACCGACGTTTGGCCTAATCTACAACTTCACGTTTTAAATAAAATAATATTTATTTTGTATCACATATAAAATCCCACCCAATAGAGATAATGCTACGTGTAAGGTTATTTTATTAAAGTAAATTTAACGGGGAGTTCAAAGAAAAAACAATTATGCTGATAGCTTGTTTACATCAAAAGATATAGGTGATTTAGTAAAACACTACACTTTCAACCTAGTGTTTCGGGGGAGGGGGGGTTTTAAGGGGAAGCAAGGGGGGGGAATTCAGGGAACTTTCAGAAAACACCTTTCCTATTATATACTATCACCATGCAAAAAATCAGCTTTACATCTTTCATGTCTAGGTTCTTACCTAAAGTGACTGGGCTACCCATTTCGGGGCGAGATAGTGTTTTATATGCGAGTAAAAAAGAAGCATGGAAAACACTATCAAGCCCCTAAATGGGACTTTGGTGACGAGTATTGAACGATACTTTTTATCACAATGAAAAAAAACTACTTCATCAAACTTAACAATTTATCTGATATTTCGCAATCCTTTCATTTTTCTAATCTAAACACAATACGGCTGTACAATTAATTTTAGTGTAAAATTCAGCTAATTGTAACTTTGTTGATGTCAAGTAAAGTATTGTTTGTGTAGCGAAAGTGATGTTTATGTAGGGAAAGTAATGTTTATGTCAGGTAAAGTCAGTTGCTCACTATTTGTTTTTGGTGTATGGAAATTGAAGATTTTCGAAGATCTCAGCTGTGTGGGCCATTTTCAAATACAGAGTAATGAAAATAAATTTGTTGGTCATACGGGCTATTTGTCTAGTCTTGTTTATTCCTCTTCTTGTTTATATATTGTAGGATTGTTATCAACATTTTTTCTGTTATATCACATGATTTGCAGTATTAGAGAGAGCTGCTCCATACTAGGAGCTGTTATTTACTAGTACAAATTTTTGGTAAAATTAATAGATAATACTCTATAAACCTAGATTATTTAGACAGTAAACACTTTTAAACGTATCATAAATAAAGGTCAAACTACAACTGCTATTTGCTTAGTCATCTGAAGTAAAGGTCACTATCAAAATGTACAACTTTTGACAATAAATGTTGTATAACTCTTGACGATAAATTTTGTAGAACTCTAGACAATAAATGTTGTATAACTCTTGACGATAAATTTTGTATAACTCCTGAACATTTATCACTGGACGCATTCATAGCAAAATGTCGTCTTTAATCTCCAGTGAGCACCAGTTTACTCTTGTCTCCCTTTTTGAGTTCTTAAATATTTATGAAACATTGGAGACCAAAGTTTCAAACTGCTTCTTTATGCTTGAGAAGGGTAAGTAGCACTTTCTTACAAACAAGATGAAAACTTGACATTCGTTGTTTGGCTTTTTTTTATAAAAAATTAATGCTTTTAAAACTAAGAAATATATTACCTGGCCTGTATTTTTGACAATTTTTAATACTGCTTATGTTTTATTTTTTCATACATCATTATACAAGATTTATTACAAAGGTGATCAATTGACCACACTATCAGACCGTACTGGAGACTACTTATTGGAATCATTGGAACAAAGTAAACATACAATAATGTTTTTTCATTTATTTTTACAGCTCCCTTATAGCTTTTTATCACATTTTGAAAATGTTTATCCAAGAGAATTAGGATTTTCAGCTAAAAGAAATTATACCAACGATTGTTACCTCCCTAAATTCATTTTTTAACCATACAAGTTTTTTACTCATTAAAATTGATTTACTTTTACTCAAAACACTTTAATAATTAGTCTTTACTTCCTAGACAAATTTTCTGTAGGCCCCTATATTTTATGTATGGGTTGTCGCTGGTTTACTGGTTTCAGCCTTTGACTATAATCTTACTGATAGGCTGTATGGGACAATATTTTAATAAAATGCATGGTGCGGCAATGACGACCACATAGTTAACATCTCATCATGCTGGATCTAAGTAGTACTGTAATCCTCAAAAAAATTGTGGGTGGCTCACACTCTTCAGGATAAAAATATTAGAAAATCTATATTTCGTATTACATATGAATTGAACACCAGGAAAATAATTTTGACACCTGAAATATTTCACTCGGCTCAATACCAGTAGAGAAGTCGCAACAAAAAGTTTTTCATGCCATGAATGTGAGGAGGACTTGCTCCTTGTCTCTTTTTTTGCTTATTCACAGACTTATCTATGAGGCATTATATCTTTAGAACTGTTTGATTAATTTGAGAATGTAGTACTTCAATCCTGGTAGTCATAGTTCAAATCCTGTCGTTTGCCAATTAATGCTGTGACTTGGTAGTAAGGAAGTCCGTCTGCAAGTCTGCCTGTCTAGAAATAAAAAAGACCTCTCAAACTATAAGAAATTTCTCTAAATTGGAGAACTCTTTGCCTTAATAAAATCTATACAGTGATTTTCAATCCTGAGATATGACTTAAGCCCTTGACCTCAAGGCCTGTCTGATGGTCTTGACAGACAAGTTTGACACCTTGATACTATCAGCTGGGCTCTTGTCTGTTATCTCCCTCTCTCTCACTCATGTCTTTGTTCTCACTGACACACCTTGTAATACTCCACTTGAGTTATGTAGGGTCAGTCATGGCTAAGGTAAATATGAAGGTTACCAAAGAGAGGCAAATAGTTTTATTCAGTTTATAATAAAGTACAAGTTAATGTATATCACTAAATTGCATTGGTTCAATAAAGGTGTTGTTAAATTTTAATAACATTTCTAGAGTCCTGTTTTTTGCATTGATAAATGTTTAGTGGAACAAAGTTAAACACTTAATCTCTTAATTGTTATATTTTGAAACCATAAACCATCTATTAGGCTTAACATTTATTTAATTTAAAATGACAAACAAAAAATTCAAAGATAATTTCAGTCTGATAAAAAAAATTAAATTTACATGGAGAAATAAATCTGTGTCTTTGTATCTAAGGCTTTCACAAATAGAGTTTTTAATTTACTTTACCAAAGCGTATATTTGGTCCATATTACCTTTCAGTTTTACTTAACTTATAAAGAAAATAAGTATGAAATAGTTATTTGTGTAACTAGTGGTGAAAGTGGCACTTTGCTGCACACGAGAGCAATGTTTACGCACGAGCCGCAGGCGAGTGCGGAATGATCTCGAGTGCAGCAAAGGCCTTTTTCACTCGTGTTACACATTATATTTTTCCTACAGTCACTATAAAACATAAATAATTAGTCTTTCAAACACTATACAACACGTTTTTAGGTTCAGCTAGCAACACAATTACACAAATGGTGCCCTGAAGAAAGTAGTACCCGTGGTCCGTATCACTCCGCTATTTTTCCTCGGCAAGAAATGTGCTCCGTCTTTTGAGAATATAGTTCCGTATGTTTTTGTAATTTGAAGTGGTTTCCGCGCCTAAAAAAAATGCTTTAAAGGTATTTTCTTGTTTATTAAGACCGTAGGAATGTTTTAAAAACGTTTAAAAGAAAAGTCCAGAAAGTTCAGAAATACCAAAACTATAAACACGAAATGACAGGTTAAATCGTAGTTATAATAGTCAATCAGCTGTTCATAGTATTATTATCTTTAAGTGTTGCCAACCTATTTCCAAGCGTACACGGATTACGTGCATAATAAAACCACGCTGTTTTGTGTTGTTTGGTTGGAATCCTGATGTGCGGCAAAGTATAAACCGTGCGGCAAAGTATAAACCGTACGGCAAAGTATAAATATGCAGCAATTATCAGCTTTCTGTACTATAAACAGTACAGGGAAGCCAACTTTGTCGGGTGACTGTAGGAAAAAGAATTTTTTTTAGTTGCATAATATCTTCCTGAGGTTCGAAAATGATAGTAAATATGATGATTAATTAGATTCTTTGCTTGTTGCTAAGTCCTCAAAGGCTGTACTCCAAGAAAATTATGTACATATACAATTAGTTTATATTTATAAAAGACTTTGAAATAATTCCAAACCCCTGTAAATGTGCATAATTTCTTAAGTGCAAAAAGATAGCCCATAAAGTATTATTCACCAGAAATGAAATTTGGTATTTTGTTTTATAATCAAAATTGTACAGAGTTTTGTATATTGATAAATTCAGTTAAGTACTCTTAAAAAACCATTTTAAATCGAATATTTATATTAGACTAAAAATGTGTGAAAATTATTTAAGCATATTATTAAAAACTTATCTCAAGCTTTTTTGCTAAATAGGTTTTAAAACTTGAACATCCAAATCACCCCTCAAAATGAGTAGTCTAGACTTTGATGCCGATGGATCATAAAATTTATGATCAATATTGCTGGGTTAACAAGTTTACTTGTTTACCATCAAAGGATCAAGCTGGCCTTATCAGTGTTATCTTTGCTGATTATGCACCCTTTACACCTTATCAAGCTGTAAGCATTAGTACACAGCAAATTTTATTGTTTAGTTATGTTTCTATTAAGTTTTTTTTTTTTTTTTTTAAAGAGGTTGGCGGCCTCTTTTAACCTTGCATTTGCCCGTCCACATAGACTATAAGCCCGTGCGTGGATCGTTTACAGCAAAGCAAGGAGTGAGCCGGTACAGTACAAAGGTGAACTGTACTGATAAAATGTTATCGGTAGTGACCAGGATCCGAACCCACGACATCGCTGCCTTGGCAAAGTATAACAAATAAAAAAAAAGTAAAAGTATAACAAATCACAATGAAATTTGATTACATGGTTGTAAACCCTCTATTGACAGACCAATTTGTAATCAATAAATAACTAATAAAAAATATAAGCTTTTTAAACCACCTTGCAACCAAATTAAAAATTAAAATAAACTGAAATAATTTCAGAATACTATTCAAGGAAAAGCTGCTTCAAAAGAATTATCATTTTTCATTCAAAGAACTTTAAATATTTTTTCAATGTAATGAAAATATTGAAAAAATAATGATGCTCTATTGGAAAAAAATGTATTAATTTTATGTTTTTCTGTCAAATGAAATAAAAGTGTTGTTAGCTGATAGTTTGACACTGACATAATTCAATTGACACTATTCGAGTACAAATAAAGATTAATTATGACTGATTTTAATAATTTAGTTCTAAATAATTTTTACATTCTCTATGAAATCAAAATATGTACAACAATAGCAGAAAATTGATTACCAAAGGTTTGTTTTGTGTGATATTGGAGTATTCTACTTTAGGTTTGATGCTACACGGGAAGGAAAAATGTTATTTTTTGTCAATTGTCAATAATATATGGGATGAAATAGATATATTTACCAAATTTGATCAAATCAAAATACATCTATTAACAAGAAAAGTACAATATTTTTTTCTCCATAAAAATAACACCGAAATGTTGAATATATTATTAATTCCCCCGTAATATTGTAGAAATGTTTCTATTTTTATGCTTTAAACTATGGCTGTAATATTAATTAGGCGTTTCCATGTTTTCAGGGTAAATATGCATTGAACAATTATTAGTGTTTTAGCCTCAGAAGACATGACAATGAAAAAGTACCGGTCCGGGGGTATAGTTCTTTCTGTGCCACCTACAGCAATAGCTTCTTCCCATTGCTAAAATGTGATAGTAACAGATTAATTATTTTGGCATTGATCTTCATAAGGATCTTTCAAATGTGAAGCTGGAAAAATCAAAACCCCATTATCTAGGAGCTGTATAAGAGGACACAATGTTACCAATCTATTTGTTCATTTGCAGTGTCATTAGGTTTTTAACAGCCACGTGTACAAACTTGTAAACCATTGTTTTACCTTTATGGTGTTGTTACTTTGTTTACATACAACAGCATAGTATTTCAATAAACACTTTATTGTTTCAGAGAAGACTTTGCAGCGCAGCTAAGAAAGCTCTTTCTAAAATCCCCACCAAACATATCAAGTTGGATGACAAGGTCAGTTATTACTTCTTTATATATTGATATTAGATGTATTGTATTTTAATTTAATTTATAAGAAGTCTAATTAATTATATTTTTTTTAGACAAAATGATCAATCAATAAGGAAGTTTTTTTATCAAGATCAGTAAAAAATACTAAGTGTTTTCTGCCTATCGATGTTAATTTTGTGATACTTTCCCACCTTACGACAAGATCAGATTCCAAATCCTGAAAAATTACAAACACTTTGTTTTAATCTGTTAAACTGACAATCACAATTAATTGCTTCCAAGTTAATAAAATCCTGGTAACATTTCTTTAAATATTTTTATGGCCTGCATCGGCCCATTTTAGTCAGTATATTTATTTCAGGTAATCTTTTTCAATTTTTAAAACACTATTAGAAGTACATTTTTTGTATTTAGCAGAACAAATATGTTATTAAAGACTTAGCAAAGAGTCCTTTTTTTGTCAAAAGCTTATTCTAAAAACATTAAAATCATGTAGGTCCTTTTGTATTCAGGTGTTACATCCACATGTCCAGGGAAATGTATATACTATACATGATAAAGATTACTATTAATAAAGATTATTATTCAATAAATCCCTATTTTATGTTGCGCCCTTTCAAGGAGTAAGAATCTAAGAATTCAGATTCACTATCTATTTCCATTAAACCCGTACTCTTACTGTCTAAAAGAATAAAGTAGCATTTTCGTAATGTCTGCATGAAATATTCCTGTTTTTTTTTTTTTTTTTTAATTTAAGCCCTCAAATTTAGTGGTAATATATTTTTCTTGAATGTATTGTTTTCGTTAAGTGTTTAGTGCAATCATATTGTAGATTATTGTATATGATAGGCTACTAGATTATAAAAGTTAAGATAACTTATCACAGTTATTTGTTACTATAAATGTGCATTTACAATAGAAAGGATTCAATACAAATATCCTATACTCTAATACGAGTACTAATAAAATTCAGTAATTTAATAGAACAATGAGTTGAATAATCAAAACAACTAAAATTATGTTCAAACTACAGTACAGTAGGCTACTCTTACTTATAAAAATTGACAAAAAGAATTAAATATAGACCGTCAGCTGTGCTGCAATTACCATAGGTTCTGGCACACACCCCTAGGAGCGCCATGTAGTTACGGCTTTAGCGCTACGTAACTACACGGCGCTCCCAGCGGTGTGCGTCAAAACCTATGGTAACCATAGCACGGCTGACTATATTTAATTCTTTTTGTCTATGTTATAAGGCTGTTTGTCTTCTTGTTAGCTGCCAATTCCTCTACACTTAGGCAAAAAAATATAAAATCGTTTAATAAAATCTTATTATTTTTCTGCAAACAAACAAATTTTGGATATTCTCCATGTAAGTATTTCTTATATAGAGAATCCTAATTTGAAATTTTACTTCCAAATTTCTGGGTTTATCATAATTCTTTAGTTAAAAATACAGATTAGCTTGAGAATCTCTATTTTCACTAAATTAACATTATAAAACTCATACCATACCAAAAAACCAAATAATATGAGTTGAATAATATGAGTCATATAAGTACCTATTTGAGTGATGTTTGGCTACTTAAGAATTATAGCTTACATATTTATCTTATAAAATGTTTAGTAGAGAAAATATTTAACTTTGTGCTGTATTGGGCTGGATTTAAGCATTGCCTTTAGAAACAGAAGTAGACATCCCATTTATGTATATGGATCAGTTGTAGCTAGTTTCTACACAAAGGAAACACAGTTGAATGGGGGTTGTGTTTTTCGGCGTCAACTGCTTCATCACTCTGAAGTGGCACCCTCAATGGCTAGACTGGGACTGTGTACTGTATTATGGTATTATTGACAACACGGTTGACGCTAAAAATGCTAAAATACACCCCCCATAAACTCTCATGACACCGGCCGCGAAAGCCTATGTAAGAATATAGTAGTTTTCATCACTAGGAAGCGAAAGTGGCTCTTTTTCACTTTTTGGTACGCAATTGACACTTTCGATCCTTGTGATAAACAAGTATTTTCATCATACTTATGGAAATAAACATCTAATCATTACACAAAATTAGAACACACAACTTGAGGTTATACAAAGTCGTCCTCAATGTTTACCAAAACCGATGATTTTGCTGGCGATTTTGGGAAATAAAAACGGCTGCTTTCCAGACAGTGTGATGAAAACAGTTAAATGAGTTTCTGACTGATATGCTACTATTGGATTTGTACTAACTACAGTATGAAGGGGGTATAAAAATAAGTTATTATAGTTGACAATAATTTGTCCTTTCTGTTTGGCATAATAAAAAATTTGGTGAGTAAGAAAGAAATCAGAGTCTTACAGATGCTTAGGCCTACTCTGCTGGTGGCTCAGTTCAATCCAGTTTATTTTATGTTTTGGTTGAAGTAGCTACACCTAACATGGGAATGGAGTGTCTTCTTTCAGCAGTGTACCAGTCTATAGTCGATGGTTTAACATGTGTATTTATTGTGGCAGGAGGTGCAGGGTGATGGTGAATGTTGCGCCATCTGTATAGAGCCATACAGAACAACAGAAGTTGTCAGGATACTGCCTTGCAGGTAACTTTACTCATATGACAAGGAAGATAAGTGTGGCCCAATGGTCAACAATGACAGCTGGGTCCTGTGTAAAACCATCAAAAAGCTATTGCCTTTTCTCATTATCGAACAGTGATCTTTTGATTGCCTGGCAAGCACTATAACCATTCAGACCCACCCATATTTTTTGTTTTAATTTTCATAAATAAAAACTAAGTATTGCCTAATTTGACATATATGGGTTGAACATTTCCTGGATTGAAAAATATTCCACTCTCAATGGTTAAAAATAGGATCTTTTGGTTGCCGATTTTGTGATGAAGAATTTAATAAGATTAAAAGAGATTGGTATCACTTTCCCCAGTCAAAAACCAACTATCTGCATTACCTATTTTAATAACCAAATGATGGCCTATATTTTGTATCACTGGCTGTGATGAAGGTCACCTGCCAGGGATTATCATCTTATCTTTGCCAAAATAGGATGGACTTTTTGCTAGAAGGTGGAAATTGGAAGTTTATTTCTGGATCTCCATTTTTTAATCAGCTGATTGTCAATGGCTTTCAGTGTTGCTAGGAAGCTATAAAGTTAAGTGGTTGGTGCTGGGTCCTTAATAGTGAAGCTAAACAGTTTATTGATCTTGGAATTTAGAGCTGCAATCAATACATTGATCCTCTCCAAGTATACTATCTAAACCAAATCTTATTTACAAATATCAATAAAATATCAAAATGTCTAAATACATGTTATGTAACAACACCTTATTTTATAGACCAAAAATTACCAGTACCCATTAACCTCAATAATTTATTTGATTTTGTTTATCGTCTTCCTTAAAAACTTTATCAAATAGACATAAGTATAATATGTACCTTTTATATGCATTCAACAGTCAACACCCTACTAATATGTGTCTTTTCTTATACCTTAATTATTTATTTGATTCAACTTTATAAGACAGATTATCATTGAGTAGCCTACCTACTGAAATTTAGCAACATTCTGGTTTAAAATAGCATTTCCTGAGATACTTGAAGGCCAGCCTAAATGTTTGTTTAGAGCCCCAAGGTGAGCGAGCTTTAGTTGAATAGAATGTCAAGTCAAACAGTGCAATAATCTGTTCTTCGCCCTTTCTCACCCCTCCTCCTCTCCTTTTCCCAAATCTGTTCTCACTTTCTTCTTCATTACCCCTTCTCTTCTTCTCTTCTATTAAGTCACAAGAGATTCTTGACGAGCCAGTAAATTGCATGACATTTCACGTCTTTGATTTGTAACATTTCATCAACAAGTAGCTGATTTGTTGACCTTGATTTGTTTAAGTATATGTGGAATTGATTTTTTAACTCTTCTAGCATTTATGGTTAAATATTTTAAGATTTTACTCGATAGAACATTACAATGGTACTTATTACGAACTAGACTATGTAAAGTTAGTAAAAAAATTGTAGTTTACAGGTATGAGAGCATTTTATTTCCACATTAAATTTCTCTTTTAAGATCTCTTCAAAATTTTCCAAATAAAGTTGGTGGTATTTTGCTAAAGAACACTAACACTTTCAGGGGAAATGGTCCAAACTCTTTATATTCTTGTACATATTCCGGGATCGATTCTATTCTCACACCAAAGTTCTAAATACTAATCACAAGGCTAGCAACACACTAAACCGTCCTATTATACAGAAAATATATATCGTACATTGCTGTAGGACATAAGAAAAAGTTTTTGGTTGCGTTGCATTAAGGGATATAAAAAGTTAATTTTATTTTAATCTGTCAGGTTGCCGTTCCAGTCCTGAGAAAAGTCAGTCGCTTTTTGATGGTTTAAAACTTGACCCAGGTGCCATTGATCATTAGGCTGAAATAGGTCCTGGTTGAAGAACCAACAGAAATAGGCTGTAAAAAGTTATACTCATCCATTCAACACTCATCCTATCTCAGCCTTTAAATAAGCACTTTGTTGTATTATTGTCTTGTAAATATCTTTCTGATGAATCCTTGAAGTTTCAATGATACAAAAAATGAATCATAATGAGTTACATTAATTCTCTGTTTGCACTTTGCTTTTTAAAACAACTATCGTCACAATACTTACTAATCATACAAGGACAAAGATTGCTGTGTTGATTGGTCTGTTTGTAGACACGAGTTTCACCGCGGCTGTATAGACCCGTGGCTGGTGGAGCATCGTACCTGCCCTATGTGCAAGATGGACATCCTCAAGCATTACGGCTTTGTTGTAAGTATCTAACTTAAAATTTGAAAATGACAAAAGAACAACTTGAGGAATCATTCCTTTGTGCACTTGGGGATCAAAGAGGGGGACGGGTAATTTTTAAAATTTGGACTTAAAATACTTGGATACTAACTTGGAGTATTCCCACTGGTATCGCATCAACAATGTGGTCAACAGGTAAGAGAGGTAAATAGAGCAGCTTAAGTCCAAATAAGCAATAAATTCTATCTTGCAAATCGTTCTTGAAACATCACTAATTTTACATATTTTTATAAACAGTATCTTGTAATTTCAAATACCACAAAATTAAAATAATTGAAACTTTATATTTTGCATTATGATATTTAAATTCTGACCAAATGTTTGAATTGTATTATAGTAACGGCATAGTTAGTAGCATGGTACCATAATTATATTTGTATTGGAATAACTGATAAATGTTTGTTTATTTAACTTATCTACTACTGCCGTAGTTGTACGCTTTTAATACTAGGCATTACAACTCAACCTACAGGTCGAACCTAGGTACTCGTTAAACCTAATGTTATTTAGATAGATTTAATAGAAAATCAATTCAGACAAATGGAAATTTGCTTAGTCGGCAGGTTTGTTGCAGCGAGGGTATTTTTCCTTCACAACAACTCACCTTCAAAGCGGAAAGGTATTTTTACTGTGAACAGGATTATTGTTAATGATACCATATTTGTGTGTTACAGTTTACTGGCAGCCAGGAGAGCATCCTACACATGGACATAGAGGAGGTGGTAAGTGAGTCGGAGAGTCTGCACCATCTGCCGGTGTCGTCTCGTAGCCGAAGTCTCAGCCCCTCCCCGAGGCCTATCTCTCAGGTAGGCCTTTAACATGAAATGAAATAAAAAAAGAACAACTTGTATTATTATGGTAAACTTGTTGACAGTGTTAAGATCAACAATCAAGCGCTATGGCGTGCTCGTAGAAAGCTCAGTCTATAAATCAAATTTTAATGCACTTTTTGCAGCAGCTGTGGACATATTCTATAAATAACAAGACATGTGTTGATTTCAAGGTGTCTAGAGTCTGTGGCTTGTCAGCGTAGACTTATGACTTATTCCAGGGGTGCCCACAGGGGGGTTTGATGTCGCAAAATGCGACATCAGAATTTTATTTGGGGGGGATTTTATGATTTTGGGGGGGATTCAAGCCAGTGGTTGGTTAAAAGCACATAAAAGATTAATCAGATAATTTTTACGACCTCCTTAATTTATTACTGGGGTAATTATGCAATCAAAATCCCGTTTGACATTTTATCTTGATTAATAAATCATTTTATAATTGCTATAAAATATATAGATACTTTTATGTGGATTTCCACTTTCTGACTCTATCATGTTTGACAGTGAGAACAACTCCATGCCAACTGCTGTCAAAGGATTATGGTTGCTTATTAAATTGTATCTGCAATTTGAGTTTGTTTTTACCTTTCATTATGAACTCATTCTCAAATAGTCTCATTGCCTTGAGGACCTATTGATGGTTTTTTAAGGTTTGTTTATTATAATATATTCTTGATTCATAAAAAACCAGTATTATGATAATGATAATCATTTTGCTATTTTTACAACATAAACAACAACATGAAAGCTTGTGATAATATTTTGGCTCTCCCAAATAAATATGCCTGGGTCATTTATTCATTGGAAGAAATTGACATACAGTACTGTGACAATTTATAATTAAGGTTTTTGATAGGCTATGTGTTTACGTTAACTTCAAGAACTGAAACACATGATTCTGGATTATGTAATTGTATTTGTTATTGTCTTTTCTTGAATCTAGAAAGAGCTTCAAACAAATTTTACAAGTCTTAGGATAGATATATAATTATTTTTTTACGCCACACTACACTATTTTGACGAACTTCCCATGCAAGGATTTAGTCCAGAAACAGCTGTTTGTCCTTAATCAAATGGGGTTTCATACAGTACTACTGTACTGTAATGAGTTTTGCCGGATACCAATCAGCTGATTATACTGTATTTGGGTGGCAATGAGTGGTTATAACAAAAACGAGAGGTTATGACTAGTGATTTTTAGTCCTTTAGTTGGTGGTAATATTGGGATTTGAACGGATTTAGTAGTATGGCGTAAACTATCGTACGTCACTCGTCCAAAATGTGTTGGCCGGACTCGTATAAAAAAACCACTACTCGACTTCGTCTCGCACGGGATTCAGGACTAGTAACGTAATATACTATTTACCACACTATGATGTTTTTAACTGTTTTACATATTGGTACATTAATTGGTGGCTAAAAGTTACGTTTTGCAGGCCATGCCAGCTGTCATCGTCATTTGGGGATCGAGCAGGTTTTTACATCCCTAGGGCCGCAAAATCAGCTGCCCGTTTAAAATACACAATCAGTATCCATATCATGGCAATAGAGTTGTTTTATTGTCACCACTGCCTAGCAACTATTTATTATTATTTTTGCTGATTCCACAAATTATTTATCCACATGACCTTAAAGTTGTAGTTGTGTTGACTATTATCAGTGTGCAGTGCATTATCATTGAGGTGAATTAGTGGTAATAGGGTATAGTGTGGTGAATAATAGCGTTCGTACCACGGACTGAAATGGTTTTTCAGTTCTCGATCGTTTTAAGTCCTCGACCTCGTATCGAACTTAAAAACTACCTCGAACCAGCAAAACCTCATTTTGGCCCTAGGCACGAAATATACTATTAAGTTTAGGCCTAGTAATATTTTTGAGACTGAATATTTTACACTTATTTAAAAAGGACCAAACTCAGAAGTGGATTAAAGGGCAATTTAGAAAATATCTCAAACTTTTTGACATAACTTCAAGTACTTTCTCCCCTACCATTTAATATGGTAAAAGAATTGTTTATGTAAAAACCCTGATCCCAAAAAAGTGGTTTTCGAAGTGATGTGTGTGTCTGTCTGTATGTGTGTATGTATGGTACAGAGCTACAGACCACGCCTGTGGTCCGAGTCCGATTTTGATGAAATTTGGTATTTAAGGTACCAATCCATGGTCTCTCCAGATTTTTTTTTTCGTTTTGGATTTTTAATAGTGAGATTCCATAAAACCCTATAAAATAATGGATGAATAAAATTTTCTCAGAATTGGCCCGAACGATTTTGATTAAAAATTAACATGTTATACTCTTTAACTATGACAAAAATTGTATAAACCCTCTATGCCGTAAAAATTATGGTTCAAAAGTTATTGCAACTTTTGTGATTTTCCCTTTTAAAACCTATCAACTCATGGAAAATCGGATTAAAAAAATCTACATGGCCAATTTTGATTCAAATTGTGTGCATGTTAAAAATCCAACTCATTTAAATTAAAACTAAACTAACAAATAGTTTGCTACTAGAGTTTTAAAGGAAAATTGTCCTTTTAAATTGGGTTAAAAGTTTGATTCAAACTCTTAAATTCCCATAAATTTAAATAAGTGTAGGGGGCACCCCTTCCCTCCCCGCATAAACATAACTATGGGTTAGCCCCCAGACCTTCCGGCATAGGTTAAACAACGAATTTGGGGGGGATTCTGCGACGTGAGCTTTGGGGGGGATGGGCACCCCTGACTTATTCCAACAGAAAATAGTCTTTCATTGTGATATCATACAATTGTGGAGGCCAGTTAACATCGCCACTATGAAAAATTAATCATTTATCAAACGTATCTCACAATGAACTAAAAGTCTCATCTGCTGTGTAAAATGTTGCACCATCTTACTGGATGAAGAAAGAGTTCTTCCGCAATTTTTTTTTTCAATTTTGTCTACTTGAGGAAGATAAAGGTTCTTCCATTGCTTAACAGCATTCTCCACTAATATTGTTACAATCAGTAATTAAGTGTAAAGTAAGTTAATTATTAATTTTGTCAAATTCAGTTTCAGATCGGAATTGATTTTCCGAGCCGTGCTGACCAGCTGAGCCGATCCTCCTCCCCTGATGAGCTCACACCTTCTCTCCCTCACTCAGGTAACACACAATATAGTTGTTTATCATGCATCACTTAGCTTTATGCATATTGAAGGATTAACAGCTCATACTGTCATTTCGGTCACAATATACTACAGTTGAAAGCGCATGGGTCGTCACATAAGCAAGTTTCAGTCAACTTTTAGTCCACTCGCTCAGTCTGGACAACTAACTGTAGCCAGTAGTAGTGCATAGTTTAGTTTCTATAAATCTGTATTGTTGACAGGAGGGACCATAGTGCGACCACAGACGTCGATTGGTTGCAACGAACTGCTGGCTGTGCCAGGCTCTGCCTTGCGTCGCTCGCTCAGTCTGGACAACTGTAGCCAGTAGCATCACACTGCTGCTAAACTCACCACTCGTCACTAGTCAACCGCTCGTTTCGTTCTTTTGTATATAATGCTCGTTTATTTTTAAGTATAATTTAATTGATAATTTTTACCTTAAGTTAAACGGCCGATATCGTATTCCATCCATTTTGACTGACTCGATGCCTTTTTATCGGCAGTTCACTAGATGACTACAATTCAACTTAAATCTTGATGTTTGCGATTAGGATTCATGTGTTTGTTGTAAATTTTTGTGAAATGACTTTGAAAGGAAATTTTGTAGGTTAAGTGGATTTTGATGTATACTTGGCGTGAAAAGTGTACTGGCCATTTTGATATATTTATAGAAAAGTATTGACATGTAATCATTATTGTTTACTGCTAAATTAAAGTGTTCTTTATACTTGTTTATTTAACAGCAAATAAATGCCACATAAAAACTTATTTAGTTTATAAAAAATTAAATTGTTATCAAGTAAAAATTTTGCATTTGGTGTCTCCACTCCTTGGCAGTTTGTTTATTGAATGTTTGATGTTCTTGTTGATGTATTGTTTATGCAAATGTGTTCCACGAATAACTTAAACAATACTAAACTTAGTCTCACATGATATAAAGTTTTTATTTATATTTTCCCTCCGTTGTCTTTATTATATTTTGAAATATAATTTATTAAATCCAAATTTGTAAATTTAAATGTTAAAATATACTGTAATCTATCATTTATTGTACAGTATCGGCTTAATTTCTGTGATTAAAACATTTAGTATATATATAATTTTTTATTTTGTCGTGTTAATCATTTTTTATGTTAATAATGGTGTCTATTAAAGTAGTTGTTTATGTATTTTAAATGATAATAATTTGTAATTAATTGCTGTTTTCTTTGGCTATAGTTTAATTTATATTTTCTACTGTACTTTTTATATCATAAACTAAGTTGCTAACAACACTTTCTGTTCTTGGAATCGAGATAGGAGTATCTGTGATTTATGTGATATTATTCCAAATATTTATAATAGTTCTTTGTATACAATAATTCCATGGTTGGATACATTGAATAAAACTATCCACTTCTGTTCTGAAAATCATAAAAGTCACTTTTAAAATAATTTTAAAACAGTCTTGAGCTTTCAAAAACATTCATTAGTTTCTGTGAATCTGATATATATTCTATGTCGAGAGAAGACTTACTCCTTTTCACATAGGGATTTACTGTGAGTATAAAGTTTCTGATAACAGGAATAAAAGAAGACATCACCTTATCATTCATGTAACTATGTGCTATATTATTTAATGAAGTTAAAAAATGAAATAAATGCCATTTCCAAATATAAATCTTTTACTTTCCTCCCATAATAACTGTTATTCATAGTATAGTCAGAGCTTCATTTTACTATAAATACTCCACCATAAAATAGACACCAGTGGCTTGTAGGGACAGAAGCCTCTAAAAAACAGATATAAAATATATTATTGTTGTATTATAAATCGAACAAACTAAGAAACAAATAATCTATGAATATGAATGTACCTCAATAAATTTTTTTCACGTAGGAACATTCTCTTTGGTTGTTATTTTCATTAAATTATTTTATTTATTCTAGAGTTTCAACTCTACTTAATCAACAAATAAATTGTCTTTGAGTAAATACTGGTCCCAGGTATGTAAAAAAATCCTCATCACACGACACCGAGTTCAAAAAGATCCAATTAATAAATAGTTGAAATATCACAATTTATCTACAAAATGAGGTAGAATGAGGCCAAGCTAGACAGGTTGCACCTTAGTTTGCCTTATTTTACAGCTAAAAATATTAATTAAGGTTGAAAATTAATAAAAAAACACCCAATTAAGTTTTATACTCAAACAAAATTTATTTCTTACTCTTTTTTATAGGTAACTATTACATACATATAAAATTCCAGCAGTCTTAATATTAGTTTAGTAGGTACAAAATATTTAGCAATATACATAATAACCAGTTCTATTTGCTTGAGCCACTTCCTTCCCTTTACACTGGAGAAGAATCTTGTGCTGTCTCTGTATCAATCAGTTGATTGTGAACACTCTCTAGGTTCTGAAAAAAATAAGCTTTGATTAGACTCTCTCAAAGATTTATAGCAATAGTTGTATGGTTTAAGGGGAAACATACTTTAAGTGTAAAGAAATAAAATCCCCAACATAAAAGACACTTTTGTTTATTAACTATACAATTGTTTTGGAAATAAACGTTAAGTACGGTATCCGGTATTAATAATATACCTAGATGGACATCTAAAGCTTACCACATGCTACAGCAGATAGCTGAAAGCCAGTGGTAAATAGTGGGATTTGAACAGATACAGCAACATTCCAGTGATTGTGAAAACATGAATGGATAGGCATACATTTAAAATGGTTTGGTTTGACATAAAACATGCAACCAGACTAAAAACATCCTAAATATAAAAGACGGACAGTTGATGGTGATATTGTATTTAACAACAATTTTAGCACACTATTAGGAGTTAGTATGTACACATTAATTTAGGTATATGATAGTTTTATAATTAATAGTGAAACATGCTAGTTTTCAAAAGCGATAAATCCATTCATAACACATTTTTTATTAAAATTCAAAGCTCAAGCATAAAATAATTAACAATTAATATTACAATTTGTTCAAGTATATATATATGGAAAAGGATGACTTCTTTAGTTGTGTGGTATTTAAATTGGTAGCATTGCTAAACACAACAATCAAATTAAAATCAAACAGCTGATTTTTGTTTGTTATCTTATCTTAAGTCATTGAAATATTTGGAAGCCTTCTTCGTTGGGAGAACATTTTGATTTTTTCTAAAGTAGAAATTTTGTGCATTGCAAGGTAAGTGCCATTTTATTATGTTTGTGTTAGGGGACTTTTTCTAATTTGGGTCGGGTCAAGTAAAAGATTTTGGAATACGCAGTAAAATAACTTAAACGGAATACTTTTTATAACATGCAATACAAAAATAATAGCGATCTAATACTATAACAGGCTAAGGTAAAGTACAACTGTTGGAATATTGTGAAATAAACTAAATAACCTAGAAAAAAAATTGAAACAATAGTAAATTAAAACATTATTGTCATATTACAAACAATACATTCCACAGAAAAACAGCCATTTGTAATAAAACAAACATGACTGAAACAAGCACACAATACACAAAAGCAACATAAAACACACACATTAGGAAAAAGCTGTAAATACCATTTGATTGGTCACAAATCCTCAATGAGCTTTTGGTGAACGGCACTTAAACCCTACGAAAACAGAGCAATACATAAATCCAACAAGTTAACTGGTAGTTTAAAGTCACTGTAACATTTCATCAATTTTGCATATGCAAATCCCAACTATATTTTACTGTATCCCTACAACTGTGCCTGAGTTACAGATATAAAATACTGTTACTGGTATACATACTAAATATAGAAATTTGCATGTTTGAATAAATATACAAAGAACTGATGATAGCAAATAACAATTTAAACTTCACTGGTTGCAGCATAGCACAATGTATTTTACTATTCTTTCTGAACTCTACCAATAATTGTATTTACAAATAACTAATAAAATCAATAATGGGCTTTAATAAAAGGGATTGACATTGATTGTACCTTGAAATATTTGACAGTCTTGACCCTGAGTTCCTGAGTAGCATCCTCATCACACACCATGATGGTATGAGGGTGTTGTTGAAAGGCAGACACGGTCCACATGTGATTCACACCCTCCTCCACTGCCTTGTAGAGAGCAAACGCTTTGTGTGTCCCTGTGATCAAGATCATCACCTACCGTGACAACAGACAACAAGATATAATGGAATCTATTATCCGTGTGGTACTGCACCAAGAAACTATTGTAATGAAAAATGTAAAAATTGGTTTTGATCAGCCGGGATTTCAAACACTAAAATGGGTGATTTCAACTTGTAGTTGAGTGATTTTTTTTTGCAAATTTTAATATAGGCCTATACAACAAAATACTTCTTCAGATTATGCCTCGTGTAGTCAGGGGCAAGGCAGGCAGCAGTGTGAACGTGAACCAGGGTCACTCACTAATCACTATCAGGGCGGTAGGCCTGTAGACTACAGCTGGTGACATGCCCCTCCTCTCACTCCCCTCCATCATCACCAGACCTACCTCCACTGCTATCTGCGCGGCTCCATCACCATACTACAATGGGTTGTACAATTGTCAGTCACGACCTGTGATATACCAATGATACACAAGAGACAACAGAGATATTAACAATCCCCTTTGCTAACCAATCATTGTATAATTTAGGTAAATATGTTAGTAAATTTAAATTAATGAATGCTGTACTAGAAATAGTGCTAGTTATTTAGCCTTGATCAAAATTGTTTGTAGTTCAGTATCCTTTTAAAATATGTAAAGTCATCTCAACCGTTTTGTCTTAACTTTATAGCGTTTACATGCTGATTACAGAGTAAAACACAACAACAAATAACTAAGTTTTGTTTCCCGTGTAGCAAGGGGGGAAATTTTGACATTGGCATGCGCAAAACAGGTGCGCGGTGGTAGGCCACTATTCTGACTCATACGCTTGACACCAGTCGCCGGTATGACGTTTACGGCGCAACTTAAGGCACAAATCCTAATCTGTGGTTCGCAGAGTTAATATCCATTGTTAAATTAAACTAAATTAAAATCTTCTTAATGATAAAGAAACTTGAAGCTGATTTAATGAGTTTTGTGGCACTGAAGTGTTTTGAAAAGACATTCACCTGGCCGGCTAAAAACAAGCGATGACATAGTAGAAGAAATTCGACAATTCTGCATCAGAAGCCCAAAAAAATCGATTGCCCGACGAAGTCTTCAGTTGAACAAACCTAAATTGGTCACTTTATGGTGTTATCAGTAAAAGATAGAGTCTTTGTGCCTATAAAGATTCAGTTATATAGGCCTGTAGACTACAGCTGGTGACATGCTGGATAAATGTTTATAAATCACATCAGATAAACCCACCGATCGCCCTAAGCGTTCATACTTTGCCAGTTTTACACTCAAATAAGATTTATGAAAATCTGAATTTTATTAAATCATTCCATATTGTATCAAAGAATGAGAAAAAACTTTTTTCTTTTCCCTTTAATTTGACTTTTAAATCGTTTAATTATCTTGAATAGTCCTGTTTAAAAGACCGGCGTTCTTTTAAAAACACTCTGTACAACGATATCATACCTCCTGGGCATCCATGACTGTGCCCACGCCCACAGTGAGGGCTTGCTTGGGCACCTTGCTGAGGTCATTGCCAAAGAACCTAGCGTTGGCTTCTAGCGTCTCCTGTGCCAGGGTCTTGACTCTCGTCCGAGACACCAGCGACGAACCCGGCTCATTGAACGCTATATGACCATCTGGGCCGATACCTGCACAGTTAGACATATATATCACAATCAGTGAATGAAGAATATGTGAGTCACGCATATCTGAAAATCTCCAGAAGCCTAGTCAGGTAATCTGTCAGTCAAAATCCATAACCTCGATTTGATGGGGAAAAGAAGTTCATGTACTTTCTTCAACATGTATTTCAATTTATGGTATTGTAAAGTAGTAGGTGTAGTAAAAAGGATTGTATAACATTTTTGACCTTTGGGGTCTCTAGCCAAACCAATAACTTGGGAAAGTACTGTTTGATTTTTCAAGTATTAATTGTTATACTAATACTACTGGTTTATAAAACAGCGTACACTATCTCCCGCATTGGTGTAGAAATCATGAACATCCTTTCCCAGTTATGTTGCGACACAATTAATTGGCAACAAAATTGTTAACATCTCCTGAAGTAGCAGCAAAATTGATAACGTTTTCTCAGTTTTCTGCGTTAGCGGTGAAATTGTAAACATCTTCTGCAGTGGTGGAGACAAGCTGCACCACTAAATAAATCTAAATAAATCAACTATAAATCAAGTAATTATCCTATAGTAGTCATTCATGTAAATTTAGAGGATATGTTTTCAACTTATAAATATATTTTGAGGTGGCCTACTTACCCCCAATGAACAAATGCACTCCGCCGGCCTCAGTTATCTTGGCCTCGAAGCTGGCACACTCGGCCGCCAGATCTGTTGCATTGCCGTCCAAGATGTGCACGTTGCTCGGCTCTATGTCAATGTGCTTGAAGAAGTTGTTAAACATGTAGAAATGGTAACTTTCAGGGTGGTCCCTTGGCAACCCTGCCAAACAATGAATCATCATGTGTGTTTTACTGTTGTCTATGTGTTAAAATGAATAAACTAAGAAATCTAGAAAAATTGTTCTGGAAGTCAATTCAAATTCTTTCCTATCATAAATTATATTAAATGTATATAGATTGAAGTTTTGTTACAAGATGGGATTGATAGAAAAATAATTACGATTGAAATCACAAAAGAAATAAAAGTAACAAAATATATTTTTAAGTTATTATTAATAATAACAAAACCCCCAAACAATTTTCTCTCAGCGCCCATGGTGTGATCAATTTTTTTTTTTAAGTCAATTCAGTTTCCAGTGTGTCTAGCTTTCCAGCTAGCAAGGACTATTCCAGTTCCAGGTTCAAATTTTAAATTTCCAAGACAAAATTTGCCGCTGAAAAAAACAATACTTCTGTGATCATCATGTCAACACTTCTGGTTATTTCCTACAATCGTGGAAATAACTGGGTTACTTTGCCACAATCGCTGTAACACTCGTGATGATTTCTTGCGATGTCGGACATCCGTAAACTTATCTTAAAATCCCAAAAAAACCTTTGGATTATTTCCCACGATCGCAGTAATAATAATTATTTAGAGGTGGGCCATTACTTCCGATCTTGACAAAATCCATGTTAATTTCTCGCGATCACGGGAACACATGTGATAATGCCTTTCGATCGCGGCAATATCTTTTTATCTTCCCGGTGATCATGTCAACACCATCGATTATTTCTCATGATCGCAGTAATAATAATTATTTAGAGGTGGGCCGATACCGATACTCGATACCAAAATACTCTCACTCAATACTTGCCTGTTTTGGGTTCGATACCGATACTGATTACTGACACTGAACTGTATGAATCGGTGCGGATTAAGTTAGTTCAGAGGGGGTAAATTGCCGTTACGAATCCTAGCTGTTTGCCTACTTAGTAGTAGAGACAACCTTATTGGCTAGTTTTCAACTCTAGGGATGATACTTGGTTTGGTTGATCACCACTGCGAGCGCTAGTGTCCTTGGCATTTTAATAGACACGATCTCATTGACTCACCTACTGCCCTGCGACGACGATCAACCAATCACGTACTATATTTTAGCGACATTGAAACTTGGATTGTTGTTGAACGCCGCACCGAGTGCTAGTGTCTTTACTAACTTATTAGAACCTTTCTCATTGGCTGGTTTTGAATCGGAGGACGACAATAAACCAATCACCGTTAGCGTTTTAGAGATGCAGTAGCCCTGTTATATGCACGATCGGGGTGTTGCAGTTACAGTGTATGTTGTATGATCCATACGTATGTTGACTGTTGAGGTTATGTTATTGTTTTTTCACATTGGTTCTAATTGAATTTCTTTTGATTTTAGTTAATGAATGATATAGTTTTTTTTTAAATTTAATATGAGTAAGCATAAAAGTAATGTGTGGGCCTTTTTAATTTTATTAGTGAAAGTAGTGATGTGACAAAATGTAAACTGTTCAAAAAAGATATTTCTTGTGGGGGTAAGTCTTGTGCGACTTCTAACCACATTAAACATCTGAAACTTCACCATCAACGTTAATTTTTCTAGAGGAAATTGAACAAACCAACAGTTGGGGAAGAAAATATAGGCCTAGGCCAAGATGAAAGTGTAGATGATCCCAACAAATTACAATTTGTTGTGCTTTTTCTTGTGTTTCAAATAGGGTTTGTTTAAATCATACATAACACACTAATACAGGTACAAAAATGTGTATGTATAAACAAAGATATTCTGCTTATTTAGCGTTGACAATAAATGTGTTCATATTAAAATTAATGTTTTATTTGATTCCAGCTAATATTTTGATAGGTATCGGAAGTATCGGTATCGATAGGTATCGAGAGTACTTTGGTGGTATCGGTATTGGTATCGACGATTTTTGGTATCGGCCCATCTTTTATTATAATATACCTTATAGAAATAACACACAACACAAATTATAATATACAGCGATCGTGATAACAGCTGTGATGATTTATTATATCAGGGCAACATCCACAATCATCTCCAGGGTTTATTTCAACTCCTGCAACTATTTTTTTTTGTTTGCGGCCATATCTCAAATCATCTTATAATCGTGGCGAAATTCGTGAAGATTCCCCGTGATCGTGACAACAGTCGTGATCACTACTTACAGTCGTGATTACTACTGCCCCAGAGGGGAGGTAACTGTTCGGTGTTGGAACCAGCACTTCAGGTAAGGCCACAGCTATGGACGACTGGGATCGCCAGCCCTTAGGGGAGCCCTCAGTGACATTCCTCCATCCAGGATGGTGGGGTGTTTAGCTCTCAGAGTGTAATTCTCTCACCTACCTGTGGCTGTGGTTCTATGGGCCTGCCCTGCCTGTTGTGTACGACTGACATTTTGTGAGGCATATCTTTGGCTCTGGAAGTAGCCTCTTCCTGGGAGGTGAAAGACGGGCAATTGCTAAGCCCCCAAAGGGGAGGTAACTGTACGGTGTTGGAATCGGCATTTCAAGTAGGCCATAGTCATGTACGTCTGGGAAACGCCAGCCCCTTAGGGGGAGCCCCCAGTGACATTCCTCCATCCAGGTTGGTGGGGTGTATAGCTCTCGGAGAGGTGGAAGTGCGCCATGAATTCTCCCAACTACCTGTGACTATGGTCCTATGGGTTTCGGCCTGCTTGCTTTGTGCGACCAACATTTTGTGTGGCAAATCCTCGACTTTGGAAGTAGCCTTTCCTGGAGGTGAAATCGGGCAAGTACCGTAAGCTCACGGGGACACTCTAGGGGAACGGATCTTTCCGCAGTGTGAGGGCAACGGCAGTGCGCACTCCATCAGCCAATCCCTGTCTCTGAGCCCGGAAGGTATGGTTATCTAGAGTGTGGGGGGTTCTCCATGGAACCTCAATTGAGTTAAGGGTGTCGCCACCTTTGGTGGATAGGTTCATCTGGGTGGGTTCCACTTCTATACCTGCCTCCTTTTGGGAAACCCTGATGGCCCGGCAATGATATTGGGTTAGATGGGCAAATGAAGTAGATCGGTAGATAAATAGATAAATAGTAGATAAATAGATCGGGTGCTGGGATCAAGCCCGCTGGGGGTATCTGGGGATCTATCGCCCTAGTTATCCCTGGTTTCCCAGCGAATGGGATGGCCTCGATCGGATAGTGGTGTAAATAGGAGGTTGGGACGGTCCCCTTCCTCCTGGCTTTGATGGCGGGTTATGGCCTGTCAGGGATTAGATAGGTCCCGAGTGTCGCTTGCACTATGTTGCGTCCATGTACTCCATCATGGTTTGTCGGGGTCTCGGCCCTGGGGGAACCCAGTTGGAGGGACGTAAGACCAAGTAACCGGTATCCCTAGTTAGGATTGAGGGGCAACCCTCTTTCCGAAGGGTTGCTCCGGCAGCCGGTGGGCCTGATGACCTTAAGTCATCCACCCATGGTGTGTCTAAGGTTGGTGCGTATGCTCCGGCCTACACCATGGGGCCCGGGTATGTTTAATTATAGGTACCGGGTTGCAGCCGGGGGGCTTTGGCTCTTTCAACACAAAACAAAACTAAACCAAAAGAAACGAAACAAAAACTAAACGAAACCTGATTACTACTTGCCATCTCTTTAACGTCAGATACAGTAACGTTGTAAACACGATTGCGGCTAAATCTGTAAAAGTTTCTTGCAACACACGTGATGATTTCCTGCGATCGCGGAATCAGCAATGATCATTTCTTGCAATCTCAGCAAAGTCCCTTATTCGTAATAGTTTCTGCCGCGATCGCGATTTTCCAACAAGATAGATCAAGCAAGACAAGATAAATCTGTGATTTCGGGCAGATTTATCAGTTACTATTCAAACATTTAAATTTCCCAGTTCTTTACAAAATTCACATACAATTCAAATTTTTTTCCCACTTATCAAAATTGATGTACAATTACCAGTTTTCGGTTTCCAGGTCGGCTGAACCGGTTTTTTACCAAATAAACAAAAGAAGATTTAAGATTTATAACAAAAGTCAAGATGGAGTTACTATACTAAATATCTAAAAGATACAATAGCTAAAGGTCAAGTTTGGGGGATTTTAATAACCCAAGCTCCAGGCAGGGACATATTGAACTATCTGCCGCCTCTAGGCAGCGAAGTTTGCCGCCCCCTCCCCCCACCACTCGTCAGCGCTCTCTCCGACATCATTAAAGATTACCGCAATACACTCCCTGTCAGCTGATTTTGTAAGAAATTAATCGGCAATTGCATGCTGCATCAACAAATCTAATAACATTTTGAGACCTTTTTACAGACGTTTTTTCATGCAAAATGCGATCCTGTTTTGGATACAAGGAATACAATGTTGTTGTGTCCAATCAAAAGAGTCATATAAACGCGTTTTGCGGCTAAAAAACAAGTCTGCATAGAATCTTTCTTATAACGTTTTTCGTTAAACAATTTTAGTCAGATATACAATCACAAAGACGTTTATTTGCAAAACTGTTTTATTTTATGAATTGAAATGGAAAAAAGTAAGTAGATCTGACTAAAAGTGTTTGCAAATATCCTTAACGCTATGACTATATCTACATTTGGAAAATTTGATTGAAGATCTTCTTCTCTGATTTCCTTCAAAAGCCTCAGCGGAGTGATTTTGTTAGGATTTTTCTTGGACATTTGGCTTCAAGTTCGAGTTTAATATCAGTTTTGTTTTTCATATTAGCTGGTGTTTTCATTATTTTTTAAGTCTTGCCTTGACACTTTCAATATAGGATTTAAAGTGTACAACCTCATAAAAGAAGCTATCTTCAACATCTGATAAGTGATGAGATCGATCACCAGCTCACATCAGTATTCTTATCTTACATCAGTATGTCCATATTACAGATGCCATACATGCCGCTGCGTAGTAACGATTGAAAGCATGGGGAGCCGCAACGTGTTTGCCAGACCAACAGGGCAGCACGGAAAACACAATAAATGATCAACTTTGACTTTAATATGTTCTAAAATAATTTTATACTCTAAGTATTTAAAATAGCATTTTTTTTGTTCTCAAAATTAATTGCTACAATATATTTTTTTTATATTAAACCCTCCTTTCTAATTATTTATCCTCCAAAATTTTGCCGCTCCCTAAAATCTGTCGCCCTAGACACGCGCCTAGTCCGCCTATTCGGAAATATGGCCCTGGCTCCAGGACAGAAGTCCATATCTATAACCAACTCCGACTCTAGCAAATAGGTACAAGTAAAACATACCAACATACTCATCCATGTTGAAGGTTTTAACATATTTGAAGGATATTTTGCCATTTTTGTAGAACTCTATGAGCTTCTTATACATTCCAAGTGGAGTTCCTCCTGAAACAAATAAAGTTTCATGCAATTATTATCACTAGAAAAAAAACCCGCCGCAGCAAACCTGCAGACTAAGCAAATTTACATTTTCCTGGCTGGATTTCTACTAAGATATTCCCTTAAAATTGTCTGATTTATTTCCTACTAGCTGGCCCGACAGACGTCGTCCTGTCCTAATGTGGTTTTATGTTAATGCTCGTTCATTTTCAAGATGAGCTCGTTCGCATGGCTCAATTACGTCCTGGTTGAAGTTCGTTCACCATATTCACTCACCTTTACATTAATTAAACTATTATAAAAATTTGTTATAATTTGTAAAAATTTGTTATAAATTTGTTATAGTTGTTGTTTGTCGTTCGCTGCGCTCACTTGCATCAGGTTAGCTTGTTCGCTACGCTAACTCGCCTACAGGTTGAATTTCGTTCGCTAAGCTCACTCACCTTTTAGTTGCAAATTAGCTGTGTCATAAATTAAAAAATGTATAAATAAAAATACTTTTTAAAAATGCCACGTTTTTAAACGCACTAAAAAGTATAAAATAATTTATAAAATGTTGAGAGAATAAATACTTGTAAGATTTAAAACGAAAAACGTGGGGCGCATGCTGATTTACAATTAACTTCACTTATTGAACTATTATGATCTATTGCATGCCCCCCACGTTTTTCGTTTTAAATCTTACAAGTATTTATTCTCTCAACATTTTATAAATTATTTTATACTATTTAGTGTGTTTAAAAACGTGGCATTTTTTAAAAGTATTTTTATTTATAAATTATTAACTAGTTTTTAGTCTTTAATGTGTAAATATGTTAAATCTATTTTATATAGCCTCTTAATACATAACCAAAACCCAAAACCTTTTTATCTGTAATCACATGTTTTATCTTTACTTTGAAATGATTGTTTTATATTTTTAGAATATCTCGGGAGTAGAACCTGTACCTCTTAACCTCTGCTCTTCTAACTGTCAAATTTAAGTATTTACAGCTGACTTAAATTAATTTTGTTAACATATGTTTTATTTACATTTTATTTCTAACATGTGTTCAAACTATTATTTTGTTTACTTGTTGAATTGTTTATGTTTACTTACAGATTGTGATTTAATAAAAACTTACCTTCTATTTTCTTATACAAAATGTGAACTTTTATTAGTAAAATTAGTGGAATCAACAATGGCGACGAGTAAAATGGTAAGTAGAAAAGAATTTGACTTATGTCTAAAGAAAAGGAAATAGAACTACGCTTGAACAAACTCAAGGAGGATTTACCAGCATGTGAACATTCTCAAGATACATGCACTTACTACACAGATAAACTTTTAGCAATATGGGCTGAAATTGAAGTTACACAGTCAAATATTGAACTTCACACAAATTCAGTAGAAAGTGAATTAGAAATTCGATGGCAGTTAGAAGAAATATATAAAGAGATACGGACATTCCTTGAAGCAGAAAAGAAAAAGTACGATACACATACAGCAATTTCTGCTTCTGCAACATGTCAAAATGTATCTAATATTCCTTTCCAGCCGTATACACCAGAGGAAAGTTTTCAAAACTTCACTCGACGCTTTGAAAACTACGCAAAATTACGGGGAAACTTAAGTCCAAAAGTCAAAGTGGATTTATTTTTACAGGCAATCACCCCACAAATACATGAACAGCTATACGATCTTTGCATACCAGATGACCCACATAACAAGCAATATGAGGAATTGATTCAAATGTTAATGGCTCAACTAGAACCAAAACCCAGTATTTGGGCTCGTCAGCACAAATTTACGACACGTACCCAATTATGTAACGAATCTGTACAAGCATACGCTAATGCTCTTAGAAAGCTCAGTGTAGAATGTCAGTTTACTTGTACAAGTTGTAATGAATCTGTATCTGAAATTCTACTTCGAATGCAGTTTGTCAGGGGACTAAAAGACTCTGAAATACGTCTTCAACTTCTTCAAGATAAACTATTGCAACCTTTTAAAGAAGTAGTCGAAAAGGCTGCTACATTGGAACTAGCAAAAAGTGAGAGCAGAATAGTAAAAACAAATGAGAATCAAGAGGAAGTACACCAAGTAAAAAGCAAGAACAAACAACCAGATAGGAAACTATGTAAATCTAACAATATACAACTCTCTAAGTATCAAACTCGATTGGAGAAACTGAGGAACAAATGCTATAGATGTGGTGATGATTCACATAGAGCACATCAATGCAAGTTCAAAAATGCAGAATGCAACTCTTGTAAACGTTTTGGTCAATTAGCAAGAGTATGTCTAAGAAAACCAAACAAAGAAGTAAAACAATCAGATGAAACCGCAGAAAATACAAGCGATGATGACACTCATGAAATTTACCAACTTCATTCAAAATCAAATGACAAGTTTATGCTCGAGGTAAAAGTGGAAGGACGACTCATGACAATGGAATTAGATACAGGAGCGGCTCTTAGCATCGTATCATATGATACATTTAGGCTCTTAAACTCTCCAAAAAGGATTTTCAAGACAAATGTTCAACTCAAAACATACACTGGGGAAATAATCAATCCTAGAGGAGTTGTTTTTGTAAATGTTCAGTATAAAGATCAAGGTTTTGTTGGAAAACTGTACATTGTTAACAAGTGTGTAGACTCTATATTCGGAAGAGAATGGATAAGAGAGATTCAACTTGATGCAGCTGACATACATTCATTAAATTCAAGTGAAAACGAAAACATTCAAGAACTAGATGATTTGATGATTCGATACGAAGACATTTTCAAAGAAGGCATTGGGAAAATACCAAACGAAAAGGGTCATTTTAATGTCAAAGACGAAACCCAGCCAATTTACATCAAACCTAGACACATGCCATATGCATTACAAGAAAAAGTAGAGAAGGAACTTGAAAGACTGGAGACTTTGGGTATAATCACACGTGTCGAATCATCCGATTGGGGGACACCCATTGTGCCGGTTGTCATACCCAATGGTTCAGTCAGAATATGTGCTGACTACAAGGTGACTTTGAACAAAGTTATTAAAGACGAACATTACCCTATACCTCGGATCGATGATATCATGTCAAAGACGCATTGTGGAAAGATATTTTGTACTCTTGATATCAGTAACGCATACTTGCACATGGAGATGGACGAAGACAGTGCCATCATGCAAACGATCAGTACTCATAAAGGGCTGTTTAAAGTGAACAGACTAATGTTTGGAGTAAAAGTGGCACCCTTGTTATGGCAAAGATTCATGGACAAAACACTACATAACATAGAAGGCGTACAATGTTTCTTTGACGACGTAATTGTCCAAGGATCTAACAGGACACAGCTTCTTCGCCGACTGGAACAGGTGTTTGAACGACTGAAGTTAAATGATTTGAGGTTAAATAGAGAAAAGTGTAAGTTTTTCCAGAACAAAATTGAGTACTTAGGTCATGTGATCGATAGCAAAGGACTACACAAGTCAGATGCTAAAATACAGAGCATTTTAAAATGTAAAAGACCAGAAAACGTAACTGAACTCCGAACTTTCCTAGGCCTTGCGAATTATTACAACAAATTCATAAAGAATTTGGCTACACTGCTACATCCTTTGAATTGGCTGCTACGAAAAGGAAACACTTTTACATGGAGCTCTGCTTGTGAACAGAGTTTTCTGAAGATTAAGGAAATTATTACAAGTGATGACGTGTTGGTACACTTTGATCCTAGCTTGCCACTGGTCTTAGCTACTGATGCTTCGCCTGTAGGTGTAGGAGCCGTTCTTTCGCACCGCTATAGGGATGGAACAGACAGGCCAATTGCCTTCGCCTCTCGATCTTTATCAAAATCAGAACAAAAATACTCTCAAATCGATAAGGAAGCCTTGGGAATATATTGGGGCCTGAAAAAGTTTTTCCCGTTTTGTTATGGCCGCAAATTTACTTTGATCACAGATCACAAACCTCTAGTGTCAATTTTTAATCCATCAAAGACCTTACCAACAATCTCGGCAACACGGATATTCAACTATGCTCACTTTCTCTCCAGGTTCGACTATGATATAGAGTACAGGCAAACCGCTCATCATTGCAATGCAGATTATCTCTCTCGATTCCCTATCGAAGTTGTACAAGATCATTCTGTAGATGACCTCTCGAAGTACCACATAAATCAACTGGAAACACTCAATATCAACAGTACTGTGGTGGCTAAGGAAACTCTCAACGATGCTGTTTTGGGTCCAGTCCTACAGGCCTTGAAATCAGGACAATCTGTTGAACAATACGGATTTCACGATAACGAGCTGTCCATTCAAGATGATTGTGTACTGAAGGGCTGGAGAGTCATGATACCTCAATCTCTCAGACCTCATGTGCTTCGAGAACTACACGTAGCTCATTTAGGAGAAATAAAAATGAAGGCTTTAGCTCGCAGTTTTTGCTGGTGGAAAAGTATAGACAAGGATATTGAAGAGATGGTAGCTGAATGTCGACAATGCATTGAAAAATGCAACAACCCGAGGAAAACTATCCATCCATGGGAACAACCTTCTAATCCATGGGAGAGGGTGCACATTGATTTCTTAGGACCAACAGATGGCCAACAATACCTGATATTAGTGGATGTCTTTAGTAAGTGGGTGGATGTGATACAGACAAAAACAACTACAAGTACATGGACTGTCCAAGAATTACGGAAAATCTTCTCAACTTTTGGGTTTCTTCACATCTTAGTTTCAGATAATGGAAGACAGTTTGTATCTCAAGAGTTCAAAAACTTCATGAATGAATGTGGGATTATTCACAGAACAACGGCACCATACCATCCAAACTCAAACGGCCAGGCTGAAAGGTACGTGCAGACTGTCAAGAAGGCGTTAAAATCCATGGAGGGAGAAAAGGGTACACTGCAAAATAAAATCCAAAGACTTCTAATGCAACTCAGGCAATCCCCGAATTCAACTGGTACATCAGCATATCACCTCATGTTTGGAAGGAGTGTACGAACAAACCTCGCAATAATTGTTCCAACATTAGAACCGAACAAATATCAGAAGAAGGGAGTCCAAGTCGGTATAAAAAGGAATTTCAAAGTTGGAGATAAAGTGCAAGCGCGGGAATATGTAAATGGTTCGTCCAAGTGGTATTCGGGGTATATAACTCAAAAGCAAGGACATGTAATGTACGTAGTTCAGCTGGAAGATGGACGAATAATAAGAAGACATGTTGACCAGCTGATTCTTCGTAAAGTGCCGCAGCACAGTAAATAGAGGAGGAGGTGTTAACATATGTTTTATTTACATTTTATTTCTAACATGTGTTCAAACTATTATTTTGTTTACTTGTTGAATTGTTTATGTTTACTTACAGATTGTGATTTAATAAAAACTTACCTTCTATTTTCTTATACAAAATGTGAAATTTTATTAGTAAAATTAGTGGAATCAACAAATTTATATGTTTACATTCTTTTAAAATGTAAAAATGGAAAATTTGGAAGCTAAAGGGGCGTAGCCCAAGGGAAATATTAAAATTAAATGATATAATATTGCATTGTCATCCAATTGTGAGCTATGTTTCAAGTTTCAAGTCTCTAGCTCATCGGGAACTTCGTTTAAAATTGATAACAAAATTTGTAGGAAAGCGAGCTAATAAAAACAAGCCCATGGGGCGTAGTCCAGGGGAAATATGAAAATTAAATGATAATATTGCATTGTCTTCCATTTGTGAGCTATGTTTCAAGTTTCAAGTCTCTAGCTCGTCGGGAAGTTAGTATAAAATTGATTTCAAAATTTGTACCGGACAAGAAAGCGAGCTAATAAAAACGTTTTAAAAATAATAGTGTTGTACCCTGTTGGTAAACCTATTAACTTTTTAATGCTATTGAACATTACAGAATAAAATTGAACCAGCTGTTAAGATTCTTTAATTCCATTTAAATATGAATACTCATAAGGTTAACACGGGAAACTCCCTTTTGACGGATCTGCACCAAACTTCACACAAACCATCCTTGAATAATGTTTAACAATGCCTGAAAGTTTCATTACAATCTGTCAAAGCGGTTTCGGAGTCCATAAAGGACAAACAAACAAACATACATACATTGGATTTTATATATATAGACTCGCCCCAGGCCCCCTAGCTGTTAGTAGTCATTAGTATACAGCTAATCCAGCTAGCTGTTAGTCGTCATTAGTATACAGCTAATCCAGCTAGCTGTTAGTCGTCATTAGTAGATTAGAGTTAAGTTGTAACAAAGCAAGAAGTGAAACCGTCAATATTAAGTTATATAAGTTAACTTCGAGCTCGACCTTAAGGAACACCTCATAAAAAAATCATTTTTTAAGTTGCGGTAAGAGAGTATGTTAGTTAAGTATTTTTACAACTGAGTTGTAAAGTAAATCGGTCCCAGGTCTAGGTCTTACCATGACCTACGGTAATAGTTTATTCCCCATATGGGAAATTTGCTAAAAACAAAAATAGTATCAGGGTGTTGTGATATTATTTTGGCCACTGACAAATAAATTGGATAAGATTGGAATTTACGGTGCCGTCATATTTGAAAGCATGCAATATTTGTATTTTAGGGGAGGATGAGTGAATGATGAGTGTTGAATAAGATGACATCTTTGTCACTGACTAAGATCTGCTGGTTCTTCAGCTAGGGTCAGTTATTAAAAGCACAATGATCAAGAACATGTTGGTCCAGTTTTAAACTGTTAAAACTTTTGTATCTTTTCAGGATTTAACTGGCATTCGTCTGATTACTATGTGGTTACTAAAACCAATCCAGCTACCCTGCTATTCTAAATTGATGTAAATCCATAGTGCTATTACAGCAGCCCAGTATTATTTTATATGCCTCACCTGTAGGCAAGCCAAGGACAAAATACTTGTCAGGCCCGGGCTTGAAGTCCTTGATCTTCTTGAGTACATACTTGGCTGACCACTCTGCTACTTGAGCTGTATTGTCTAGAATCACCAACCTCATACTTGATCTGTCAACATAATTTACAAACTTGATGCAAAAAATGGCCAATCTAATAGTCTAATATTTGTTTCTTTTACAAAAATAATTGTTATAAGTACACTAAACTCATACATCTGTAATAAAAAGTGGACAGGAAGATTTTATTTGTTAATTTTTCAAAGTTTGGTTATTGATAATAGTGATTTACTTTATTATAATCATAACACATTTTCTGGCTGAATATAAATAGTGAAGAATAGAGTTAGATGATCTTTCACTGACTAGCCTAGTTATTTATTATTATCATGAAGGTAGATAGTAGGAATATACTATTCCTGAAATGTATATGATCTAATAACAACAACTGCGATTATTAATTGTAAAATGTATAAAAATATTCTTATTGAAAATAGGTCAAAATAATATCCAAGGCAAGGATAATATTATAGTAATATTGTAAATATAATATAGTACAACATTTCAAATATTTATTCAATTTATATAGGCCTATTGTACCATCAACAACATGAGTAATTATTTAAATAAGTTAAATCAAATTAAAAAGAAAAAGAATCTAACAAAATTTAATTGGCAAAGTTAGGGCCACATTGCAAGTTCTTACACTCAACACGTTAGCATTCCATACAGGTATTATTTCATTGAAAAGGTATTAAAAAGTACAGGTAGGGGCCTAATTAATAAAGAGGAAATACTAATACAATGTTTTTTTATTGAAAATTATATAAACTCAAATTAATTTTTGTAGGAAAATCACCCCAGAGTTGATTTCTAGATTAATGCAGGTAAAAATTGTAAAAAACTTAAAAATAATAAATATTGTTGCACTGTTGGGAAAATGATAACATTTTTATTAAAGATCTAGGCCTAACACTCACAGTTAGTTGTTGTCAGCCCGCGGTGCAGTGTGACTGGAGGTAAACTCTGGGCCAGGAGTTGTACTGGTTGATGGATGACCTACTTCCACAGAGACCAGCTGATAACCTTGCTGTAATCAGGCCATTGACACCTCCGCCCAGCTGTAAACAATACATTGGACTCTTGTTTACCCAAACTCATTTAATGCTTTACACACGTGTTTTATAAACTATTTTTTTTTCAAACTGTATGGAAAATAAATAAAAATAGTCTAATAACACTTGATACATATATTTACACTTATACTGTTAAGTTACAAGACGGTAAAATAATACAAGACAACACATAATATGATGTGACATAATATGATGCAAGACGGTTGGTATAAGGACATGGAAGTTCACCTGATAAACGGTAAGGATGTTCCTTTCTGTAGACTTAGTTACAAGTTTAATGGAGAATTATGCAACAGTTTTCGATGATGATCACGGAGAAATTAAGAACATGTCACTTGATTTAATTTTAAAGGATCAGACAACTCCAGTTTTCTGTAAGGCTAGGAACGTGCCTTATGCTCTTCGTGGGGCTGTAGAACAAGAACTCGAAGATTTGCAAAAATCGGGTGTCATTTACCCGGTCACTAAAACATACTGTTTACTGTTTTATGAAATGGCGACCATACATAGTAGGTATTTTAAGCCAAGTATGAATGGAGATGTGTGTAGGATGAGTGGCGCGATCTTGTAGTCTTGTTAGTGACTAAGGCCGACATTCCTTAGACACAGCTGTTAATTAATAGCCAATACAGCTAATGGCAACTAAGGGACCTACAGTTTATAGTGGAATCCGAACCACATTTTTCCTTGGTATATACGAATTTGTCTAATTATCAGGATAGTACTGCGGAATGGAGCACCCCAATTGTAGTTGTTCCTAAGCCTAACAATGGTGTTCGCATTTGTGGCGACTTCAAGGTAACGTTGAACCCTAACTTGCGAACTGACTATTATCCTCTGCCAAATCCTGAGGATATTTTAAGTAAAATTTCCAGAGCGAAATTTTTCTCTAAACTCGATTTACGCTCTGCCTACAGCCAGCTTAGAGTTAATAAACAATCTCAAGAGTTATTAACTATCAACACTCACAAAGGTCTTTTTAGGTACGCCTTTTTGCCATATGGTATTACCAGTGCCGGTGCCTTGTTTCAAGCCACCATGGACAAAATTCTGTTTGGTCCGGATGACACTTACTGCTATTTGGATGACATTCTGATTTTTAGTAAAACGATTAAAGAAATGAAGACAAAAGTTGAAGCAGTGTTGAAGAGACTGTTGGAGTACGGAGTCAAAGTTAACAATTCTAAGAGTGAACTGTTCAAAAAGAGTATCACATTTTTAGGTTTTCGCCTGGATGAGAACAGAATCCACCAGAGCGAGCAACTCATTGAAGCTATTGCAACTGCACCTAGGCCCCAAAATCTAACTCAATTGAGGTCATATCTAGGACTAATCAATTTTTATGGAAAATTTTTGCCTAACCTATCTACCCTACTTCACCCTTTGTATAGGCTACTTAACCAAGATGTCAAATGGTTTTGGTGTAATCAATGTGACAAGGCGTTTGAAGAGAGTAAGCGCCTGTTGTTAAGGGATAATGTGCTGATGCCTTTGACCCCAGTCAGGACATAGTGGTCACGTGCGATAGTTCTCACTACGGTGTAGGCTGTGCCATATCACATGCCTTACCTAACGGCTCAGAGCGTCCGATTGCGTTTGCTTCACGGACCCTCACTAAATGCGAGGAAAAATATAGCCAGATAGAAAAGGAAGCCCTCGCAGTAAAAAAGTTCCACAACTTTCTTTACGCTAGAAAATTCACATTGGTGACCGACCATCGACCCTTGATCTTCCTTCTGGCCAAACTAAGGGAATCCCCACTCTTGCTGCTGCTCGGATCCAGAGATGGGCATTGACATTATGAAATGAAAAAAATGAAATGAAAAAGTGCTTTATTAACAAAAAAATAAACTGCATAAATACATATGAACTTATAACTAAACATAATCTTCTGCATAACAACAACAAAATTACTAAAAACAGCACATTACAGCAATGGTCATAAGACCGTCTGCCGGGTTGACAACATTTTATTTTATACAACAAAAAATGTGAAATATTTCTAATAAGCTGTAATATGTATATTAGACTAGGCCCGTTTTCAAAAAAAGGCAATGCAAGAAGCATTTCATGTAACAATTGGGGAAACAATGTTTTTAGGGTATTTTGACCCTGCTGAGTACGAATCTGCCTGTTGCCAATGCGAAATTTGAACCGGAAGTGCGTTATCCAAGATGGCCGCCAAAAACTCTAATTTCCGCATATCTCCCTTGTTTTTTTGCTTAAAATAATTATTTAGACGTCTGCATAGGGGTTTTCTCGGATGCCAAACACATTGCAACACCCAAAATTTACTTACATTAAGTTATGGTATATTCCAAGATGGCATTCGAGATGGCCGCCAAAAACTCTTATTTCCGTATATACAGGGTGTATATAAGGTCCCGCAAGGGCTTAAGTTTTTCTAAACGACAACAGATAAATCAATAAGATTTGGTACATCAACACCACACCTAAAAATCTACTTTTTTAAGAAACTATGAATTTTCTGTCATGGACGTCCCGCAAGGAGTCAGAAGGAAATCTTAAAGGAAGCATAGGTCAATTTGCACATCAAATTAAAGGTCCTTTTTAGTAGAATACAATGCCGCAAACCGCACTTCAAAAGGTTGATCCTGCGCAAAATGACAGTTGTTCAAAGATTTATTTAATTTACATTGCTATTATACGCTTACTCCTCAGGGCGCACAGCCCTAGGAATCGGAACAAAATTGTTAACGTAAGCATAGGTCGATATGCACATCAAATTAAAGGTCTTCACTAGTAGATTACAATGCCGTAAATTCAAGCTCAAAAGAACGTCTGGGTAAAAAAATGGCAGTAGTTCAAAGATTCAAAATGGCAGATTCAAGAAATCTTTGAACGGCTGCCATTTTGCGCAGGATCAACCTTTTGAAGTGCAATTTGCTGCATTGTATTCTACTAAAACGACCTTTCATTTGATGTGCATATTGACCTATGCTTCCTTTTAAGATTTTCATCCGACTCCTTGTGGGACGTCCCCATGATATGACAGAAAATTGATAGTTTCTAGTAAAAGTAGATTTTTAGGTGTGGTGTTGATGTACCAAATCTTATTGATTTACCTGTTAGTTGTCGTTTAGAAAATATTAAGCCCGTGCGGGACTTTATATACAACCTGTATATATCCCTTGTTTGTTTGTTTAAATTAATTATTTAAACGTCTACAAAGATATTTTCTCGCATGTTAATCACATTGCAACACTCATTATTTACTTCATTTGAGTTTAGAGGACATATGTTTCCAAGATGGCAATAAAAACTTTATTGTGCTTACGTGAGCTCCGTGCGTATTATTGTATTTAGTGTTTAAACCAGCCAGTTACTATTAGTGACTGAATATTTGCTACTATTTTTGAAATACCAATTGAAATTTTGCAATGTTAAAGTAGAAGGCAAATTGTTTAATGTACTCTGGTGGCACCGTAGATAACGCGTAGTATAACAGAACCTATAATTAAGTAATTGTAGAATTAATTGTGTATGATGTTGACGAATTTATCACTTATTTAAGGTGTCCAGTTATGTAAATAGATATTTATTGTAAAATATGACGATGCCATACGTATGTTTTATATTTTATGGTAATAAATAATTTGATTTGATTTGATGTTATTTGAACATTTAGTTCAACAGAACCTGTAAATATTATTAACAATCACGGTAAACGCAATACGTTATTTTCACATTTAATAAACGAGAAAACATGACGAATAGCGTTTACCGTGATTATTTAACGGATGGTTCAAATACTCCCTATTGCTAATTTTGAATAAACTAAGGACTTAATACAAATTGTACTTAACGCAAATAATTATTTCTTATAAATTTACAAATGTTTACTTTCTCTTCACAAACAAACTTTTATAGGCGGTTGGAAAACAAAAGATGTTACCTTATTAACATTTATTTTGTACACAAGTATACACCTGTTTACTTTCTCTTCATAAACTAACTTTTATAGACGGTTGGCCAACATAGGTTATTAAAAAGAATAACAGTTGTTTGCTGATTAATGTTGATCAGTGCAGCCAACACAATGCTGCCATAAAAAAAACCTTTAAAAAATCTATTTCATCCATTGAGACCCATGGTAAACAAACCTCCATTGATAGGTGGTACCACAAGATCAATACAATATAACAGTACATTATCATTGTAAATATTATAACCGAATTGTTTATTATTATTTATTAATGTGTTATAAAGAACCATTGTTTAATTTAATTTACATGCACCACCTCTTGCGGATTCGAGGTATGGTCTAAAAAAGAATTTTTACAGGTTCTGTTGGACTAAACGTTCAAATTTCATAAAATAAAATAAAATTATTTATTGCCGTAAAAGATACAAAACATACGTATGGCATCGTCATATTTTACAATAAATATCTATTTACGTAACTGGACACCTTAAATAAGTGATAAATTCATCAACATCATACACAATTAATTCTACAATTACTTAATTATAGGTTCTGATATACTACGCGTTATCTACGGTGCCACCAGAGTACATTAAACAATTCGCCTTCTACTTTAACATTGCAAAATGTCAATTGGTATTTCAAAAATAGTAGTAAATATTCAGCCACTAATATATATCTGACTGGTTTTAAACACTAAATACAATAATACGCACGGAGCTCACGTAAGCACAATAAAGTTTTTATTGCCATCTTAGAAACATATGTAATCTAAACTCAAAGAAAGTAAATAATGAGTCTTGCAATGTGATTAACATGCGACAAAATACCTTTGTAGACGTTTAATTAATTAATTTAATATATACGGAAATAAGAGTGTTTGGCGGCCATCTCGGGTGCCATCTTGGAATATATGCCCCCATACCTTAATGTGAGTAAATTTTGGGTGTTGCAATGTGTTTGGCATCCGAGAAAACCCCTATGCAGATGTCTAAATAATTATTTTAAGCCAAAAAACAAGGGAGATATGCGGAAATTA